TGCGCAAACGCTAACTGTTTATGTTTTGTTGCTTTTTTTTTTAGCTAATGTAGAAGAGGAGGGTCAACCAATGACCACAATGGTAGGAAGTGTATCTTTGGATTCAAGGGATAAACGTATTCACAAATAGAAGATATATATATATTACTTTTTTCCTTTTTGTCTAAATTTGGTCCTTTTTTTGTTGTTATCAGGATGTCTTGCCCTCCATCGAAGACTTGGGGTCTGGTTTTCCTGAGGAAATGTATCTTGATGGTTAGTTCTCCCGCTGTAAACGGTTTCTGTGAGCACATTTTAAAGCCAAGCACAACAAGTGGGAGGAAACACCCCGAAACTACCCCATACCTCACTGGGTTTGAACAGGAAACCATGGTATCATAATAACTGAGGCTTAACAGCTAAACAAGCCACAAGAGACATGGTTGTCCTGAAATAACGCCTTCTTTTAATACAGTTGTTTGTGTTACCATAAAAAGTCCTGTGGTTTTCATCTCTTTTCACTGCAGGTACAACTCATGAAATATGTATCAACTTATGCCAAACTCAGTATCATGTCCTATGGATCTCTGCCACTCTTGCCATCACCTCTGTCATTTTGGCTGTCTACATTTTAAGGTTAATATATATATATATATTTTTTTTTTTTATAAGACAGCATTTAAGAGTGATAGCTTTAGCCAGGTTATTCATTTAAATTATTGCTCTTTTTTATTTCAGACACAAAGATAGGTTTATGTCCAAACTCCACAGACTTACCATCACCCACAGTGATCACGTGTCTCCACCTCCCCCTTCTATCCCTTCAACCCCAGAACGAGAGAATCTTATGTCTGGTTCTGACTCTCAGCTTTATAAGCAGCTACCATCGAGTGAGACACAAGACAAGGAGGAAAATGAGGAAGAACAAACTGAGATGGACCGAGTAGAAGCTATGAACTTCAACAACAAAAGTTATTTCTTCCTGGAGATAGAGCGATGAACAGCCAAGAGGCTCGGTCATGTTACAGGTTCAGAAACCAGCTGACACAATGACTCTTAGCTGGAGAAAGTACACTCAGGAGAAACTTGTACAGACTGCATTTTAATGTATATGTCATGCTTGTGATTAAATGGGACTTTTTTTCTTTTTCCTTGTCTGCTTTAATGTTGTGAAATCAACTGTGTATGCTGGTTTATCACACATTTTTTGTAAATATAACAAAAATTTTATTAAATCTATTTCTGTCGTTTAAATCTCTAAATCAAAAGAGGCTTTTGCCACTTTTAAGAAGAAAAAAAAATCATTACTATAAGTAAGCAAAGCCCTCATCATGAGTTGCATTCTAATTTCACTGACTTGTCTATTTAACATTCTGTCTCATAACCATGAGGTATTTTCGAATATTAAGTCAGCCTGTAGTGTACTAAGTCAACATATTAATATGTATAATACGTATGCTCATTATACTTTTCTACCTAAAAGATATGGCATCCCTATTTAATTAATACATGTACTGATCATGTTAATATGTTAGCTGTCTCATTGATGAGTTAGTTATTGATTGGTTGACATATCTTTATTTGGATGTTGCTACCTCTTTATGTCTTAGCTTTCTCATTATTATGTTTGGTTTATATTATTAAGTACTAGTGGGACAAGTTAAACATATGATCTAGAGGCTTTGTAATCACTTAATTTCCTTTTTATTAAACTGTTTGACACAATAAGCAAAGTTCATCAGTCTAAATAAACTGGATCTATAAAAATGTATACTTGGATGGTGTACAGCAATTTTTATCTTTACTTAGTAAAAACAAGGCATTTAGGTTCAAACATTTTTGTCCAACCACACAAAGTATCACAATTGAAAATGTCCAACTCTGACGTCCAATTAGTTCATTGTGCATCATATTTTCGCAACACTGATAATTAGCTTGTTTTTCACTGTGTTCTATATTTGAAGTCTTCTGTTTTGTTTTACATTGTGAAAACACCACTGTCACTGGATGAATCTCTGAAGCAAATTCTAATATTCTAGGATCTTCACATTCTTACACCGTATCTTGCACTGAGAAAAATAAATATATACCTGTGAATAGATTAAAAATATTATAAAGTGTTAATTTATCCCATTCAAGAGAATTTAGTCTGAATGATGCCATGATCTTTGTGCATCCACAGCTGATGGACAGATGGATTGCGGCTTTGTTTGCAGCAGTGCAGGTGCAGCTCATGTGTGTTATGTTAAAGAAAGGCGTGGGTCAAAAAGTAAAGCCGATTTACCAGTTTGTCTTTGATCCAACCCTCATCCATCACCATTGGATGTGGATCCTTACAGAAAGAAGAAGATCCTCGGTATTAGTGACCTGCTTAATAGGTAGTCAGGTGCATAGCTAAGTCTTACATACAGAGTCTGTTAGCCAAGGGTAGATCGGACTATCTTTTTTTTTTTTTTTTTTTTTTTCCTGTCTGGCAATGTGGCAATAACAATAACTGTTTTGATGCCAAAAAGAGAGCCAAACACATTTAGCTTTCACAAGTGGTGCTTCACTTGTAGGGCTATCCCACATTAGAGCTATCGCCATAGTATTCTGCTTGATTAGTGCAAATAGCTTTATTATAATTCATACAGGGAGTATTACAGATTATATGGACACTGCAATGTAAGTACAACAGGAAAGGAAAAACAGAAAAATATGAAAGAAAGAGGAGATTAAAGAGGAGATAACGATAAAACATCTTCAGTCTGCTTCAACACCTGCAAAGAGATGTGAAAAGAACAGCACAACCAACGGATATAATATAAGAGATACAATAAAATAACACCTTGATGCTATCACTGAAGTATAAGTAGTATTATTTAATCAGACATGTACTGTATACTGTGGTAGCTGAAGATAAGAATATGGGTAGATCGGACTATCGCTGCTCCTCTGAGGTTACCTGGATATTTGATTAGGATATGCTAGAGCATCTCCTTTGGTGATGTAGAACCTGGGGGAGATCCAGAACCCGCAGCATAGATCACAATTCCCTTCTGGCCTGGAAACAATATCAGATCCCCTAAAATTAGTTGTTGTGTGTTGACAGGAAGGTAGGTGTAGAGTATTTCTCTTGTAAACTGTCTGTTTAATTATAGATAAAATTTATTTGGTTGTGCTCTGTCATATTTTGGCAAATTATAAATGAGCCCATTTCTAATATTTTAGATTTTTTTATTACAGTTTTAAGATTAAAAGAGTTTCCACAGCTGTGGACTTTAAATGTACATTAAATGTACATTAAATGATTTAATGTACATTTTAACTATGATTTAATTTAAATCATAGTTTTATTCAGCAGACCTTTCATTTTTTTCCTGACTCAACTATGCCCTCTCGTGGGCAAAACTTTTAAAGCGCGTCCGCTGCCATGGCAACAGCGGTTGAGCAACAGGTGAGCGAATGTTGATGGCCGTTTGGCTTTTGATTTTGGTGGAGAAACGGAGGAAGACTGTTAAGAAGTAATGGCAGAAGATGGAAAAGGTGCTCCGACGACACGCAATGTTGGTCCTTTAAGTCCCGAGCAAGAAGAAAAACTGAAAGAGTTTAAGGTAATAACAAAAAAAAAAAAAAAAAAAAAAAAAAAAGCTAACCGTGCGAGAGCTAGCTAATATGGTGCTGAATGGTTGGATTATTCTACTTTTTTCCTTTTTTGGTTCAGATGCAGACAAGACTTGACAACGAGAGGTATCTGAGAGCGCATCCAGAGGTGGATGAAATTATTGGCGAGTTTCTGAGGTTGGTGGTAATGTCCTTATCGGTTCCAGTTAGTTAACTGCTGAAAAACAATTAATAAAATCACCGAAGTTCACAATGCAGAGCTGATTAGATAGAACAAACTAAAAAATAAATAAATAAAGCCAGGTTTTTATTGTTACAATTAGTGTGATCAGTGTTGTACTAGTTATTTGGAAAAAAAAGTACAGTTTTACACTTTAATTTCAAAAAGTGACTAAGATACTTTATTGATATAATGTTCTAACTTAATTTTCTTGTCCAAAGTACCATCTCAAATACAAAGTACTTTTTTTAACTCTTGACTCGCAGAAACATTTCACCCAAATTTTAAGGTTTACGTCCCAAAGGGAAATTAATATTGCAGTAGATTATAAATTTTTAACCGGTTGTTGAGGGCTAAAGTTACTCTGTTGCTTAACAATCAGATGAAGAAGCTCATTATTGTCCATAATATTCTTCATTGATGAAGAATTCCTCTTTGTGAAATAACCTCTAGAGGTTCTAGAGGAGATCTTAGCTTGTTATTAGCTTGTTGAGGCTTTTTTAAAGCCATTGGCTCCAATGTTGTTACTCCAGCAGATAATGGAAAAAGAGATCACACTCTATAGAAGATATTCAGCATCTTGCTGCAAACACTGAAGACACTTATTACATAACAAATTCATATAGACTTTTTTAAAGATAATTTAAACTCAAACCTATTAAATAAACCTTACATTATGCATTTTCATTAGTTTAATATAGCTTATCTATATAAAAATACATTATTCTTATGTTTATGTATTCAGAATTCATGAAGTATACTCACTAAAAAGTAGTACTAATGAGTATATTATTTTAAATGCACAAAATGTATTTTTTTGAATTCCATAAAGACAACCCTGATCATTTAGAATGTGTTAAGTAATGAAATTACATCAATCTTAAAATTTGGATGAAATATTTATGTTAGTATACAAAAGATAACAGCTGCCTAAAACAAAGACACATCTCAAATGCAGAAGCCGAGAGCACAGCTGTACCTGACTGCTATGGACAAGAACAAGCTAATAGTGGCTGACTGAAATCTATTAACTTAGTCATTAACCCAGGGCAGACTACAGAAAAAATAATAAATAGGACAGGATTTTTCGAGCAAAACACAATTGATGCCCTAAAATTAGCATTATAACAGGGGGAAAACCTTCAAGTTTTTTGAAGGTGATAAGAAATAAGTTCAATACCTCAGAAGCTTTTGAAAGTAGCCACAAAAATAATCCATCCTTGAAAGTCCTTGTATTTATACATCTAACAAAGAAAACAATGGCAAAAAAAATATGCAAGGAAATATAATCTTTCGGATCAACACAAAATAGAAGCTCTAATCTGAGTTGTTCAGATTGAGCCAAGGTTTAAAGACAAATTGGTTCAAACCTTCCTCATTGATAAATCCAGAGAGAAAGGATATTAGAGCTATCATCTGGCCAAAATTCATGGTGCTGTCAAAATGGCAAATAGTTACACACTAAATATCACAAAATACATTTCATAAAATTAAATATTATACACAGTATATTATACAGAGTATTTCCCTCAGCAGTTGTACTATGGAAGAACATTTACAGTAACTTTATGTTGCTGAGGTCAAAATAAACGGAAACTTTGGAAATGCTGTCAGTAGGATTCCAAATGAACTGTAAAGCTGTTGTTCTTTTTGTTGAAAACATGTTCTTACCTCAGTTTTTCATCTAACAGACAATTGCTGGTTAAAAGGCCGTCAGACATTGAGGAATTTGCTGCAGGTAAACTGTAAACATGAAGGCATTCATTATTGCTCCATTCATCCTTCTACACATTCTATTCCTTCACCTGAGTTGGATCTTAGCAGACATAGTTTTAAGAATTATTCTTAAAAATATGTCATTAGTTTTAAGAATAATTCATTGTCATGCCATGTCATTATTAAAAAATTATTTATATTGTTTTTTTGTTTGTTTGTTTGTTTACAAAGATTGAGGCCGATTAGAGATATATAAAAATTGAATTTATTCTGTGATTGTTTAGAAATGAGCATGATGTATGTCTGTAATAAAATAATGGCCACTAAAGAGCAAGATTAGAGTTGGTGGGGATTTAGTCAAGATCAATTTAAACGCTGACAACTGTCAATATCATTTTTCAGATCACTTTTCTTCCCTAAATGATCCTTCTGGCTCCAGAATGACAGGAAACAATGATGAGGATTGAAAGCTCCAATATCATCTACCTTGATCCTTCTGGAGAGACACATCAGTGTATGCATGGGTTCTGTATATAAAACAGTGGCTTTGTTTCATATTCATTTGTTTCCAAATTCCCATCAATGCTTTAAAGGCTCCAACTAATGCATTACTGTAGAAAGATTAGTTACTCCTATGGGATTTGATTTAATTTTATAAAATCATAATAGTGTCTTATGTTAGCCATAATCTAGTTTGATTTTTCAACAATATAAATTTGAACTGTTTTTTGGGCTTATATCAACATTGGTTCAAATGAACTATTAACTTTCCCTAAAAGTATAACTTCTTCAGCAAGCTTCCATGTTTCTATTCTTAGACTTCTCCATACTTTCTGTTACAAGCAAACAGCAAAATCACTGGTATATATTATTTGCGTTAGGAATTAAGAAGGGTTTACTGTTATAAGCTGTAGCGTCCTGCCATTCTGATGTTTCATCATCATGTTTACCTGCGTCATTTCGTGAAGTTCTGAATAGAGCTTTTAGTCGGTATTTTGTTCCTCTTGCTTATATTGCAGTGGTAGATTTCAGGTGGGGAACAACTTTCTGGTTCACTTTGTCCCTCTGGTTATTTATCTGTTTTAATTTATTGACATTTAAAGATGCTGTAATGGAGGCAATTATACTGAGAATTCAGTGTTTATTATGCCAGCTGTCTTAAAAGCATCAACTGCTTTCTTTACTTCTCCAGAACAACCCAACCACCCCCCTCCCACCCCCAAACAGAAATGACACAGTAGCACACCTGCTTTGAATAAGCCAGGGATTGGTAGAAACTCATCTGGCTCACATCAGACGAGGGAATTAGGCAGGACAGGAGCACGCATTCTCACTCTATGCAAAGGATCTACACAGAAAGAGGTGGAAAATCAGTGAGTAATAACTAACTTAACTAATATCACTTAGCTTCATTGTGTTTTTCCTTTTTTTGTTTGCCTCCTGCTTTTTATTTTACATTTTTTTATTAGCCTACAGGTAAGGACTCACCCAATCTGATAATAACTTGTAATTTATACAAACATTATTTAATTTTGCTTGTTTGTGATTGTAATTGTTTTAATTACATATGTCCCTTAATATTCATTTATTAACACAGAAGAACTTACTACTACAAATAGTGAGATGGCATTAACGTCTAGTAATAACACATTTGTAAAGAAATCAGCTTGTTCAGAAAGTTATTTACTTATTTGTCTACACCCTGTTTGTATTCTTTTTTTTCAAATGCTTCATGCTTTTAGTCAGATGCTTAATTCTAAAAGTAAAAAATAAGTTTTCTATTAGTTTTCTTGTATTCAGTGTGTGATAATTTCCATTGCAAGACTCAAACCTGTTATCTGTGGATCTAAACATATATGGTCATGATTAACAATTTTACAGCAACTTGTTTTTGCTTTCAGTCAAACAAACACACAACTTTGACTCTCTGGTAAATGGGTAGTTAGTGTGTTGGTTGTACTTCAGTACAGTTTCCTGAGGTCATTAGATATATTTGAATAGGAATTCAAATCACAGGAAAGAAAGCAAAGGCTAAGATGCAAATGTCTTGGTTAGCGCACCTGGCCTCATCAAAGCTCAAATACAAGAACTCAAACGCTTTGCGAGGCTGAGATTAGGAAAGATAAAGTAGGCTGACATAATTAAAAGGTGAGTTAGCAAATCTGTTTTTTCCCTCCATGTTGTCCTCGATTGTCCTCAAGTTTCCCTCAGGATGAGTAACATGAAGGGTTACCAGGGAGGTATGATTAGAAAACCTCAGAGGAGGAAGTTTGTCACTAAACTGCAGGCGACTCACTTGGAGACAGGTTCCATAACAACCAGATACCTATAAAAGTAGAGAGTCCTACTTTATGTCATGGAAAAATATAATCAAAGTGGAAATGTAACTAAAGAATAATTTAACCAGAGTTTTTGGTCATATATGGGAATGTTGAAGTTCTTACAATGTATTCATTTCTAACAGACAGGCAAAATTTCCGCAGATGTCTCCAAATGGAAGAATGTGCTTTGTTGTCCTCATTATGGCCTGCACAGTCTTTGGTTAGTAATGAATCGTCACACACAAACAGCCTACTTTTTACTGTTTTAGTAAATTATTTAAACACACTTTAAATAGCACTTTTTAACAGTTTGCATTCACCGTTGTATTTATATTGGTTTTTAGCTACTGTGTTTACAGCTGGGCCTGCAGATGCGGCGTCTGCAGATAATAATCCCTTCATGGCTAAAAAAATGGTAAGAAATGTCCTCAATAAAAGGGGTTTTAGTGGAGAAAATTAAGTTAAGTTAAGGTTACAAAATAACCTTACGATGAGTAAGGTTACTTACTCATTGTTGATTTTTTTAAAAATAGGGATTATTGCTATTTTGGATTATAAATTCTTAAAACTTGAACCTGAGTTTTTTTTTTTTTTTTTGCTTTTACCAACTTTAAAGTGATTTGTTTGATTTTATTAGTTAAAATACAATAATTTCTTCACATAGTTTCTAGTCTATACAGTATTTAAAGCACATCATGTGAAATTTTTGGTGTCAGTTTGTTTGTGCGTGATAAGCTGAAATCTTACTGAACACAATATAAAATATAAATATATATTAAATATATATAAAAAAGTTATTTTTTCTCTCATTAGATGATGAAATGCTACAATCAGGGTAAGGAAACACTGATTCTATTTTTTTATAGCAAATTTTTTTCATTGCTGTTGGAATTTAAACTTCACCATAAACTTACCATGAATCCAAATGACGCATTAATATGAGAGAAGGCACATGGACTGTGTCATGGTATATATTAACAATCTCAATATTTGCACAGCAGATGTTTGTTTTTGTTTTCATTGTGCAACACATAAATGTGGAAGTTTCCCATTACAGGATACCCTTTGCCTAAGATGACTCTGTTGAAAACCATCTTCAATAACAGGTAATTGTATGGTACAGTCTGTGGTTTTCGATCTGTTAGGTTTCCATTAGAAATGGCTGGTAGCAGATTAAAAAGCACATAAAGCACGGCAGGTGATCTTTTGATCAGCTTAAAGATTAAAATCCCGGAAATTATTATACACTTTAAAACCATTACTTGAAATAATATAGGAAACACGTATCAATGTATATATACAGTATTTAGAGAGAAAAAAGAGATATTATAAATAATATTGAATAAAAGTGATATGCTCACCTGCTTTTTCTCTTCATTTTCATTCTTGCTGTCTTTGTAGTAACCCATTAGAAGGAGGCCGAGCTGTTGACCAGTCCAACAACCTCCTGTCTACATTTCTTCAAGTCCAGGATTTGGTGACTGGGGTCACAAACAAAAACTCCCCGAATGCACTCCCCATGGATGCTCCAGAGACCTGGGTGTGAATACATCCTTTACAAAAATACATCTACAAACTATATCTTTTATGATAACAATAAAATAAGGGGGGAAAAATAGTAAACATATACATGATTGAAACTTAATCTCAGTGTCTGAAAATTAAATCAGATAAAACCTATTTAGGTCACTCTGACTTTGATACTTTTCACAAGCTCCAACCTTTGCTCATTGTTCCTGGTAGATCCAGTGTCATTGGTTCTGGTTTGTAGGCTGCCTTGCTTTCAAACACCTTTTCAGCTCTTACAAAATTTCATAGGACTTTGATCAAGCCTGCTTGATGGCAACCTGAAAACTTTGATTTTGTTATAATTAATCCATACTTTCTAGTCTGGGTTATGATTAGGGTAATTGGCCATAATGGAAGTCTGACCTGCACCTGAGCTTTACCTTTCTTGCTCAGGTCTTGAGATATTTATTTGATATTGACACATCAGACTAATTTATTCACCATGATATATATTGTGACGTCCAACACTTTCTGATGTTCCTCTATAACATAATACCACCTTGCACAGAAATCAAAGTTTGAAAGGTGGTTTTAGGATTGTTAGCTCCTACCCCCCTTTCTCCTTCTGGCTGAGCCTCAATCTAACTCAATTAATTTCTGTTAGCCTATCACAGAGTTACAAAACCAAAGCTAGGCTTCTCTACATTGTTCAAGTACATATTTAAAAGAACTAATTCAATAAACTAAACAATTAAAAAAAGAAACCCTAGACCTAAAATGTTTAATATTTAGTCTGATTTCCAGAGTACGGTAAATTTACATTAAAAATCTTTATACAATGAATGTAAGCATATGATTCAACTGTATAACATATATATGATTCATTCAAATAACTGAAAAACATTTTATTTACTCATGATACTTAAAGATTTTTTCTTTCTTTTGTGAAAACCAAGATGTGGAATTGCAGTAACCTTCCAGCAGTAATAAGGATGATAAAGAACTCTGTGGTCAGTACAGTAGAAAAAAAAAAAATGTTTATTAATCATTACTGATTTGTAGCAGTTGAACTTTCTTGCTTTTTGGTTTGCGCCCACAGGACCCATCCTGCTGCTATATGAAAGCTTTCGTGGCCCCTATGTCCTGGGCCATGTTGAGAGCACAGCCTGAAAACTACTTAAATTCCAGTGACTATAAAACACTACTGTGGGCTGCCAAACCTGTGCTGGAAGACATACCCTCAGCAAGAATGATGCTCCCCGCCAGGGTTGGCAAGGACAACATGGGACCTATGTGAGTATAATAGGACTTCATTTTATGGTCTTCTTCCGAAAACTAAAGCCACCATTTTCTTCCAGGATGAACATGCTAACAGAAGTCTACACCGTCATGACTGAGGAGCAGCGGGATAAAGTGTTAAACTGGGCCAAAGAACAAGTCCTGCAGAACAACTTTAGCTGTACAATGAGGCCATCTTCTGGGCCAAGATCACGTAAGGGATTCTAAGTCAACAACTCAGAATTTACATATTCTCCTACCCTTTCTGTTGACACCTTTTCCTGTAATGGTCAGTGAGTTACACGAAGGAACTTTCTTGCTTTTCTAAAATAACTCCCCATTTTAATGGGGCAGGTGAACGTATAGAAGAGAGAAGGAATAAAGAGAAGAAGAGTGTGAAAAAAGGGAAGAACTAATTTCCTTCTAAAAAAAAAAAAAAATTTAAAAAAATCATGAATAAATATACCCCTGAAATACTCAAAGTAAGAAAACAACCAGAGACAGAGAGATGAAGAAAAACACACGATCAGAATGTATAGAGCAAATGGTGAGATATTTCATGGAAAATCTTAGATAAAAGATCACAATGGAAAGTTTGACTATATCACTGGCTGAAAAGCAAGACACTGGGTGTGGCACCAAGAAATGAACATTGTTAGATTTTTCCTTGGCCAGTTCTTACAGAACACATGCAAATCTTAAACCTTGTTTGTGGTCACCCAGGTATTGTCTTCCCAACTTAGTATGACGAAATATGGAAAGCTGTAACTTAAAACCTGCTGTGCCGACTCTTAAAACATAGCTGTTTGTTAGACGTTGCAGTATAAGCAAGCCTGATGTGCAAAACGTTTGTTGCTGTTACTTTTCCTATGCATTAAGCATCAACATGTATTGTGTTAACCTCTTTTTTTTTTTCATAGCAATGTTGGAAAGCTGCAAACCGACTTTAGAGTGGCTGGACTCTGAGACTTTGACCATGATGGGGCCATACCTCTCTAATCTAAGGCCAGACGATGTAGATTCCTCTCCAAAAGAAACTGTAAATTGACCTGCAAACAATGCCTTAACACTCCTAACACTGGTATTGTCAAATAGGAGCTCATACAGTATTTTCTCTGATGGTGTCATTTATTATCTCTTCCAGCTGTGTGGATTCTTCCTCTCAGGCCAATTAAGGTCCAACATGACGACCAAGATGAACCCCAGCCTTGGCAGGAAGTTTCTTCAGAGAATTAAGGAGTGCTCTAATGTCTCAGAGCAAATCGATAAGTGTGTATTTATTTGTATTCCCCTTACTTACATTAGTTTTTGTTTTGTGTTTGATACAGTATTCCTAATTAAAGTTATAGAGGAGAATTTTCGCAAATTTTTCAAAAAAATCGCCCTCTCCACTTTAAATAAAAATGCACATGCACAACCCTGTACCCGCTCCTGAGAGGGAACCCCTATTAAACATGTGCAAGAGCATGCACAAGCCCATTTCTCCTCATGCACGCTCCATTTAAAAGTTGCTGTATGAATTCCCCATACAAGCTTACTCACCAAAAGAAGATTTGCAATTTTTCCACTATGTCAGAGTGGAAAAGTGAATATGGGGACGAGCACATAAGATGGCCTTACATAAACATATCACCAGAATGATTGACAATTAGAAGGACCAGTTATTTTGATGATCATCCTCCACTATACCTTTAATTATTTCCTAAAACAAAAAGGTGAAAAGTTGGAACTTACAAAATTTTTCCCACCCTGTTACTTAAGCTCAAAACCATTCACCATTGCTTTTGTCTATTACTTCAAATTTAGTATGTAAATGTTGTTAACAAATGTAAAAAATTTCAGTGATGTAATAACTTGCCGTCTGCAGTGCTTAGCACTGTGGTTTTCAGTCTTAAAGTCCCCTTAGTAGGTGGAAATTCATAAGTTGACATAAAAGAAAGCTAATCCGATTTGATAAGAATGTTTTTAATGACTCATTTCCAGGCTTGGCCCTCTGGCTTGCTATTACGATGCTTCAAACTTGACTCCTAGCTCTAGCAAGAAGCTCCTCTCCCTGCTAGATGACTGTGACCCTAACCCCACAATATTTGAGGTATCTTTCATTTTACCAAACTTACCTAAACTCTTGTGTCTCCATTGATTTTTCAAATATAAAGAGACAGACCTGCATTTCCTCATCTCTCTGTGTTGTTCATGTCCTCTAACCAAAGCTGAAGAAGCGGCTTGTGAACAGTGTGATGACTGGTTCCAATAAATATCAAGAGCTGCGTGACCTTGGCAGCAGCGTTACTCTGCTGTCACCCAAACAACTTTCAAAACTCACTACAGAAAATCTCAAAAGTGTTCTTAAAAACTTGGGAACTGGTGTGAAATGGTCCAGGAGCCAGCTGCGTGTTCTGGTCAAGAATCAGCTGGGAGAGAAGAAGGTGATTCCTCAAAGATAATAACTGGTCTTTTCTGTTCGTTGCCTCCCTAATGTGTTTCTGACTTTTATTCTTCTCAGTGTGATAAGCTTTCAGGTGAAAAGCTGATGGAGCTTCAGTCAGTTGCAGCTGGTTTGCCAAGTTGCGTTATAAAGAATGTGAAGCCACAAGATATCCTGAGCAACACAGAAACCATGAAGACCATCTCAAAACAACTGAGAAAGGGGCAGCTGAAGACCATGCTGCAGGGGGTGAGTAATAAGAAACAAAAGGACGGATACAACATATACACTCAGAGCTGTCATTTAAAGCATTTTGTTGTTCTGGTTGACAGTTTCTTGATATTTTTTTTTCCTTGCAGCTGAGTGAGAATGTCCCTCCCTCCGAACTGGTGCAGAAGTTGGATGGCCCTTTACTTCGCAGTATTTCTCTGAAGGCTCTAAAGAAAGCAAATATCAGCTCTTTAGAAGAAGTGGAGAATAAAACCTGGAGTCTGCCACAGGTAATGTGCATATTACCAGATTTCCTTTGAAGCGTGGACAAGATCAGGTATTAAGATCATGTTCACACTGCGGCCTGAAGTGACCCAAATCAGATTTTTTTTGTCAATATGCAACCTGGATGGATCCATCCATCATCCAACCTGTATATCATTAATACTCGACAAAGATCAATATTCTGCATCCTGCTGTTGCTGAATTATCCAATGGGCATTATGGGCACATACCCAGGGGCCCACTAGGGGCCCTTGCACTCTTAATCCAGCCCTGATCCTCTGAAGCGGAAGCAGGAAGAAAAATCTTCTTAAAAAGTTGTTGTTAATCTGCCGGCCCTGGTTGGAAAAGAAATTTAAGAACACAAGATATTCCCCACCGTTACCATCCATGTTTACTTCCGTAAATACAGGACATGCTGACTGCTTGTGACTTCATTGCGTCCTCTACTGTTTATACGGGACAATTAAGCTGTATGGATGCAATTCACAAAGGAGATCACATAGAAGTCGCATATATTTGGAAATGGGATTGACTACGCAAAACAATCAGCCAATGAGCATTAAGGCCTGCAGTGTGAAAGTAGCCTCAGTAGGAAGACGAGAATAAAAACAGAAAAATTGGTATGTTCTATCCATCATCCATCCATACATCCATCCATCCATTAGTCCATCCATCCATCCAGCCATCACTCACCTTTTAAAAATAGATAATTTTGTATGGAAAATGTATAGCATTTATATGTAAGCTATATAAATTTCATATCTTCCGTCTTTCACCAGCTTGTTATACCATTTCTGTTATAAAATGTATTTATCTTTATAAAGTTGTAAAGATTACCTCCTAATGAAATAAAAAGACATGAGATTTTTTTTTGTTAAAAATTCTTTGCAATCGTTGCTTCCTCTTAGGCTGCCTATTTGGCAAAGAAGATGCATGACCAAAAGCAGCTCCACTACAGGTAATGGCAACAAAATAAAGTAGTTTTTAGTTTTAGAAATAGAATTCTGTTTTTGGGTAAGATTTTTATATTAAAATGCATTAATGCTAATCACCATCCAAAGCCTGACTTCTGATCTGTGTTGGATTCTTTGCAGTTGTGGTCATATATTCTCCTATGTCACTCATTACACTCAGTTTTTTATTTTTATTTTTTTTTTGTTTCTGTGATAGGAGGCTGAATTCTGTCCTCCAGGGCATAACCTGCAACATGATTGATCAAGTAAATGACAGCTATGTCCTGGATATGGCTCAGTCCATAACAGAGACTCCACAGTGGCTTTCCAAATTCCAGGTACATTGCTACCCAATGGGTCTTCATAATCTTAAACAAGCATACATCATCAGGTATATCTAATGACAGTGCACCTATTGTCTGTTCAGGCACAGTGTGCAGCATGGAAGGTTTTTAAGACTTTGGAGAAGGAGAGGCCAGATTATTTCAAGAATATCACTGTGCTGGAGCTGGAAAGGATTCCCACTGTGCTACTGATTCATCTGCTGTGAGGAGACAAGCACACAGTTATACTTTGATCAATGTAAAAGCTTTTGTTTATTTATATGATATATTCTCTGTTTCATTCATGCCAGACCTTCAAAAATAAAGGAATTACCTCAGACTTTGTGCCCGGTCTTCCTCGGAAAGATGGAAATGGCCGACCTGACCTCCCTGCCTCCTCGTGCCCCATCACGTCCTGCACTCACCGAGAGAGCTCTGCGTTGCCTGCTCAATGTATATAAATATATATATATGCACGTATTTAAAAAAAAAAACATTGATTAAGACTAAAATCTGGATGGGGTATTTGGAATGGATTGAAGATTTTAAAAATTATTTTTGCTGGAGTAATTAAGATTAAGATCACTTAATGACAGCTTCCTGTGAGTTGTTTAGGGGAAGAATATCTCTGGGTTGACCAGTCCAGATGTACCAAGGCTTGGCCCGCTCCTGTGCGAGATGAAACCCTCCACACTGCGCCTTATGGCCCCTGAAGTGTTGAAGTTCAGCCTCCAGGCCATGGCTTCCTGCAAACACATTCCTCAGCCTCACTGGACCGATCTGATCCAACTGGTCAACCAGGTGTTTGGGTGGGTGCAGCTCTCAGTGAATGCTGGAATTGCTTCAGGGGAGGTAACATCTAATGAACGAACATTTCTTTCCTGCAGGAGTCCCTCTGATTGGCCAGCTGAGACCATGGAATCACTGGGTCCGCTTATTCTGATGGATGACAATGCCACCTCCTCTTTGCCTAATAAAGTGTGTATGCTGCTTTCCCTTACACCGTTTTTACTTTACGTCACTAAAAAGTAATATGAACATTTTCTTTTCTTATGTGCCTTTTTAGCCTTGGATGAAGGATGTCCTTATTTACCTGAAGCCACGCCTTACCCAAATCTCAGATGCACTGAGAAAGAAGATCTTTGACCTCACCACCGACGTCACTGCATCAAACGTAGCACGTAAAAGGCGAGCAGGTGAGGAACTCATGTTTTCAGGTTCTGACTGACAGAAGACATTTTTTGCAGTTTTATTCGGAGCTTTCATAGAAACTGCAGCTCCTGCCGATTACTCACATCCAAATTTGCTGGAATATTGAGAGATTTAATTTCTAAAGAATTATTTAGTTTAGTTATTTGGCTCTAAGGGAAGGTAACACATATGAGATATGTTTAAAACACGAGGGACCGTGATCCCTGAAGAGCACGGTGGAGAACCACTGTCTTCTATGAAAGAGCTGCCTTCATTTTTTTAAATTTAAACCTCTTCCTTCGCTGTCTGTCTTATTAGAGTGGTGTACCACTGGGCGGGATTCTCTGTGCACTTTCACTCTTTTTTCATTTTTCCTCTCAGCCAGCTAGTTTATTGCTTTGTTTTAGTTTATCATTCATACTGCTATAAAATATATATGAGTTCAATGTTTCCTAAGTATGTTTATATGCCTAAATATTTTTGTTTGGTTTTTATTTTTTTTTTTATTTTAAGAAATGTAATAATACCCTACCTAGTTTTTTTAAATTATCATAAATATTTACTGTTTAAATTCTCCTTGGAGATAACCAAAGGATATAAAATCTGCTAAACTGTTTTGTTTCTAAACATTAGAACAAGAAGGAGCCTAAACCTTCTGGCATTTTTTTTTTATTGCCAAAGAGGTTAATATTAAAATCTTTTTCCAGTTAAACACATGAAAGCAAAAGCTTTAGCTTAAATTGAACTTCCTTAACATATGTATTTTTACCAAGCATTTTGGTATGTTTTATATTTCAAGAATCCACAGTTTATGTGATTCCTGTTTTTGACATAAACATCTCTGACTCCCTCATGAAAAGGACTCTGGGAGAAATATTGCTAATGAAAAAATTCAGGCAATAACAAAAATGAATTTGTTTCCTACTGAATGCTCCTTTTTTGTTTTTCTCAGTTATTGAAGATCTCTCCAGCAACGGTACAGAACCTACAGTAGCATTTGTTGAAGAGCTGGGCCTGGACAATGTTTTCTGGACGGCAGCAAATCTGGAACTGCTGTCAAACAGCACATTCCTGGCTACTGTGGAAACGCTCGGGTCGGTCCCTGGTTACAGCTCCGACCAGCTGGACAGGCTCTATAGAAAAGCAGTTGAGGTACAGTCATCAAATTGATCTCTAGGGATGGTTCAGTGATTTAATTAGGAGTTTTTCTGTCTTCTTTCTTTTTTATTCAAGACTTCCTGCATTTAGAAAATGAACACAATGCATCTCTAACATTATTACCAGTTGAAATATTAAAGCTTATCATTGACCCAGAAACAGCACAAACAGCACAATATCTAAATTAATATGAAGAATTCTAAATGTCATCAGTTTTAATTCTTTACTTGTTAAAATAAAGAAATAAATCTTACTCACTGTACTCAAATAAACTTTCGTTTTATTTACTGTAGGTGTTTGGCCCAGTAGCAAACATGACTGAAGATGTTATCGTTCAGCTGGGCTGTATTACTCAAGGTTTCTCCAACTCTGAACTGGAAAAGCTTCCATTTTCCCTGGACAGCCTGGATGAAATTGGCACCTGTGGTTGGAGAGACTCACAGGTGAATTATAGAAATCGCTCTGCTTGACTGCAAATAGTAGATCAGTATTAACCACAACACAACTTTTGTCTCAGCAGTTAGCTTCCGTTTGGAAGGCTGTTGCTGAATATAACAATCTGACTGCAAAGCTGCTGGGATCAGCAGAGATGGTTCAGCTGAGCCGCTTCATATGTGGTCTGAGCTCCAAGGAAATCAGTCAGCTCAGTGTGGCGGCCTTTAGGTATGTGTCATCAATCTTTGTTTTTGTTCTGTGGGACAAGATTTTATAATTGATATCTACAGATATTTTTCATTCAGACGCTAAAGTATTTTACGAATAAAAATGGGTAAAATTCCAGTTCTGAGATTAGGGACTGAGGTGAAAGAGGGATTTTATAAAAAATATATTGACATTTCAGATTTTAGTTCTAAAATATTTTTGAAAAACTAGCATCATTTTCCTTTAACTTTACTATTATGCAAATTGGTCAAAATCCAAATAATATATACTTTAACGTTTTCAATTAGTGACATGCACTTTTGCAAAAAAGAAAAAACAACAACTTTAGTATGAATATTAATGTTCTCATTTTTTCATGCCTGTTTTTTCATATGAGGTGAAAAACTGTCTCTCTTGTTGCTGGCTGTGGATTAAGGCTATTTTAATGTTGGGGTTTTATCACAGCGATGCAGTGGGCTCCCTGGATGCTCCTCACTGTCCTGTCAAGGTATTACAGGAGCTAAAAAATGTTGCTATATCTGCATTTGGAGATCCCTGCAACTGGACCGAGGCTCAAGTTTCTGACCTGAACAACATCATTGGTAGGATTAGCTTGTCCATGGACTAAAAATCTTAATGTCTGAACAATTGTAATTGTTCCTTGTTGGTTTGTCTCCAGCTGGTTTGAATAATACCGAAATGGCTTCCCTGAGCCCCTCTGTCTTCCCCTTCATCAGCAAGAGCATCATTTCCCAAATTCCTCCTGAAAACTTTGCTGTAAGTAGCTTCATCTGATCAGATTTCTGCCCACATTAAGTCCAGCCCCAGCTGTGTGTTGACTGCTCAAGCATAGTATCTTATATAATTAGGAGGACCAAAAGTGCTGCCAAAATCCACATGGTATATGTGGATTTTAGAGCGGCTCTGTGTAAAAGGTTTTACCCATTTGAAGTAAAGAACACTCAGTAATGCACGCATTCAGTGGTTTTTTAAACTTCAGGCAAAATGAAATAAAACTTTCAAATCTGGAAACTTCAGAATCATAAAGTCAGTCAGGTATGTCAAGTTAACCAAACAAAAAAATATATTTTTTACTTTGTAAAAATTACATTTACCATCTTATTCTTGGCTCCAAATCTTAATAATTTTTCATTAATAAAGAATCAACATAAATGTTTCCGTTTCTCCTTCAGGCTCTCTCCGTTGTTCAGATGTTGGCTCTCGGTCCCGACAATGCTGCCATGGTGACCAGTGAACAGCGAGAAGTGCTAACAGAGGAACAATTGAGTGTTCTTGAGAAGGTGCGCACCGGTGAGAGCGAGGAGGGGAAACAGTCTCAGTCGACAGAGTCCGGTAAGAAAGTTTACGACTGAATTATCCTAAAATGTAGCCCTGTTCTATTTTTGTCTGATTTATGTTATGATCCAATAATCAACAACATACCTTCACATTCTAAAAGACATTTCAAATGTTCAGATTATTGATTAAAATAAAGTAAAAAAATCATATGGGTCATTTGTAGTTAACTCTTTTTTATTACATAGTTTTGCTCACACGAAAACTCAAAAAAGTAATTAATTCATGGATTATATCTGTTAAATAAAAACTATTCCTGACATTGGATACTATTCTTTATTACTGCTGACATTGTCCTCAGTTAAACTTAAGTTTTAGAAAGCTAATTTTTAGCTTCTTTTTTGTTCCTTTGGTGTTTTTTTTTTTTAAAGCTTTGTTTTGAATATTTTATTCTACTTATTGTTTTTCTACATGGTCTCATGTTTTTGTTTTTTAATTCTCCGGTTAGAATAAATGGGGTAAAAAAAATGGGGTATACTCGATTAAAATGGGGTATACTCGATTTTTACCAACATATATTTGTCATTGTTTGGTACCAATAAAAGAGACCTGAATCATTAGTTGGCACTGGCCATGTTAGCCTAAATAAACCAAATTATATTTAAGGGAACAAGAACTGATTTCCACTTGTACTAATTAATTTGTGTAAACATCGTATTGTTTGGTTATGATTACTGAAATATTTCTGGTCAAAAACATTTACTTTATTTAAGATTAATCTTTAAGCCTGAATTGAGCACTAAGCTAAACATTAACATTAAAACAAACTTAAAACTGTGACAGGACTGATGCAGATTCATATTAAGATTTATAAATATTTCAGCTGTAAAGGTCATCTTTGCATTTCCGTCATATTTCATCCCTCTCTCCAGGAGCTCCTGGGCTGAACCTGGAAGGAATCTCCACCTTCATGAAGCCTATTCTGGTTCTCCTTTTTGGATTCCTTCTGCTTTAAAGACGGGTCTGTTCCATCCTGGTGCAGAAACAGGAGTCATCCTCATGAAGCACTTTTTCACTATTTAATGTGTGTCGACTGTAGTTAAGTCTTGGATTATTTACACTGTGTGATTTTAGAGCTGGGTTTTAAATGCTTCTCACAAAATGACTTTGTAAACTGTTTAATGGTTATAACTGAGCTTCAAATATGTTCTATGTTTATTGTAAGAGGTTATTGTGTTAAAATGAATGCTCTGTCTGGAATGGATCTACAGGAAAACTCCATATTCATGAAGTCTGTTCGGTTTCTTTCTATTGCATCAAATTTATCCTAACCAAAAACCTCTGCTCTCTGATTCTTTTAGATTGTTCTTGTTTATATTTAAGATTAGTATCTTTTGGCTTTGTGAATTTAAAGGTGTGGTTATAGTGGGTTTTATCAGCTAGGCAGTTTATTAGCTATTAAGTTTGAAATATTTCATCAAATGTATATTCTTAAGAGTATATTTTATTAGATTGGAAGGGAATATTTGATGTAACTGGATACTTGTTTAGGAAATTGTACATAAAGTAAATGGTGAAAGGTAAAGGATAACATTCAATAAAGGTCACTTGTTAACCAAAAAAAAAGAACAAAAGTTAACTGAAGACAGTTTTTATTTTTAAGCAATAATGTTTAAATTAGAAAGTATTTTACTAATGTAAATACAAAAATCACACTGAGGAGTACGTTTGAAGCAGAGTAAATATCCCAAGAACATAAACAGAAACCAGACTGATTCACTAAATTATGGAAAACAAAAACTGAAATCTGTTAATGGTGGTCGTGGTTATGGCAGTCAGACAAGATGGCCAAGCCAAGGTTTCTATTCAGAAATCCTGTTTGATGTGATTTCACACACTGATGACATCCATCAGTTGCTCAAGAATTATTTTAATGTTTAACACAGAACTAAAGAATAGTCCTCAATATGCTATTGGCTAAGAAAAGGATAAAAAGAAAAAAGTTACATGTATTCTTGGCTTCCAGTGCTGTAAAGCAAAATTCATAGAAGAATTTACTTGAGTATCAAATGTTCGTTTAATTTTTCAGCCAATGAGAGGACAGTTAATTTTACAGAAAGTACATTCAATTCAGGTTTTCATAGATACAGTAGATCAGTCAAACTATTTGAGGACCCTAACCGTTGTTAGATCAAAAAAAAAATTCAATATGAAAATTTAAAATATAAATTAGTTTTGATCTTGTACGTCACAGTTCATCTATACAGTAGATTTTCCCAACATTTTTGTTTCTATAGATATTTTATCTTTGATTTGCCAGAGCAGAACTTAACTTTTCATTCAAAATTTTTGACCTTCAAAACCTTTTAACAAAACCATATTGACGTGCAGCCTCACTGCTCTTTTGGCCCCTCGAACCTCTGATTTGAGTTTGAAAGAGGACATTGACACATTTCTGTGGAAAAAGATTACAAAACTCTTTAAAATAATCTAGTGTAATATAATCCAATCTGAATTGACATGTAAACATATATACATTTGGAAATAAAGGTTAAATTCCAAATAAAGTAAAAAAAAAAAAAAAAAGCCTTTTGTTACAGAAAATAACCTCAGAAAAGTGTTGTTTCATGATTTATGGGATATACAGTTAATTAAACAGTTTAACATTTTCTATTTAAACAAGCAAAAGGTAACAAACGGTCAGAGAAATATAGAAGACAGACATTTTGGAGTTTTGGAATTGAAAATAAGTAGAAACCTGCTTTAATACTCCATGAAAGATAAACCAGTTAGAAATAAAACACTTAGAACAGAAGTCAAACAGCTGCAGTGATTGTTAAGTTACACATTTTAGAGAAGGCCTGCTGATTCATCTACTTAAAATTCAACTCCGTATCAACAAACGTATGAAACTGTTTCTATGCTCACAGCATGACTGAGTTGATGCAACAGTTTTCTGCAGGCACATAATTCATGTAAACACGGTCACAGCACTGAGCAGGCGGTTCTATCGGATCAGTATCGCCACAAAACAGTGAAAGTAAGCAGCAGATCCTGAGAATCAGAGGGTTAATTAAGGCTTTTCACAAACAGCAGTTATATAAACTTTAAAAGAACAATCTTTGGTTGATTTAGTGCATAGTTGCAGCCCCCCCTCACATGCATGACAGAATTAAAAAGGCACAGACAAATCAGCCGTTTCTTTTCTGTTACCCATTCTAGGTGGTCTTCCCTGCATTCCTTGCGATAATAAAAGCCATCCCATGAGTTCTGAAGTGTGTGTTGAGATCTGTTGATTTTTCAAAGTGTCTACCACAAACCTTACAGGCCAGAGGTTCGTCCTCCTCCTTCCCCTGACCTGCTAAAGGTTGACCGGAGGGTGAAGCTGGTTCTGAACATTTCACAGAGCTCCTGTCGTCATGGTTCTTGTTTCCAGCAGAGGGCGATGGAGACACACTGGAGGTTTGCTGGCTGTCGCTGCAAGCATCTTTGACTTTGTGAATGATGAAGCGGTGGCGGGACAGGGAGGACGGAGAAGTGAAGCAGGCTCCGCACTGCAGACACTGTAGGCCGCCGCCCTCCGCCCCCCCTCGCCTATGCTGGCTGATGTGCTCCAAGAACGTTGGCTTGTCCTCCGTGGTGAAGCCGCATGGAGCGCAGCTGAACCCGGACTCAGGCTGAGTGTAAGACGCTGGAGCACAGGAGGAGGATCGGAGTTTCTTCACGGGGCTTGAGGTGTCAGTTGCCTCTGCTTCCTGCTCCATCTTCACAGCTGCTCTTCGTCTCCTGCGTGACACCAGAATGCTGTCCTGCTCTGAAGAGCTATCAGCTCCGTCAGCTTCCTGTGTGCAGAAAAGATGTGAATATTTCATGTTTACCATCTAAATATCTGCAGCTTTGCCTTTCTGTTAGTCCAGCAATAAAAGCAGCTCACCATGAGGGAGTCCTGACCCGGGCTGGTCATGCTGTGCCTCATCTGCATGTGCCGCTCCAACATCGATCTGCTGCTGAAGGTTTTCTTACTCTCAGAACAATATCTAAAAATCACACAAACTCGTTTATTCATACTTTTAGTTTAAATACTAATGTTTTAAATGAAGGTAATTCTTAAGAAAAGAAAAGTATGAGCCGAACTTGTCGAAATCATTTTAGTAAATGTTCCACATCATTATCTGTCAAGTTTAAACATCAGCTGTGATAACATTTTATTCCCTCCTCTTCTCACTCATCTTGTCTCTATCAGTGACCTTTAGCATCTTAAGCAGCCATCAGCGCCCAGCACAGGCTGCAGTGAGACTGAATATGACATTAGTTTGGAAAATGCATCTAAAACAGCTCTGGGATTCTGCATTTCTGTTACAATCATGAGGTATTTGCAGGAAAAAAAATTAAAAACAGGGCAGGCCTAGTTAGAGATTTAGATAGATGAATTGCCTCTATTATCATGATTTTTTCTTATTCATTAAGAGTTTCAATATTTTATTATAAATTACTAAAAATATTTGTTAATATTCAGCTGTAGGATGATGCAATTTATTTTCTGAAGTCTCACCCTCATGGAAATTTCTCTAGAACCTTGGCCCTCATTCAGCAAATATTTTTGTATTCAACAAAACTTCACATCTTCCAATTCAATTTATCCAGCTGTTTTAAGCTGTTTGAAACCAGAAAAATTAATCAAAAAAAAAGAATATAAAATGAAGAAGTGGAACCGGGGAGAAGTAAATCATATCGAGCTGCAGACTTACTGGCAACGGAAGCCTCGGTTCATGACTTTGTGCTTATCTCTGATGTGGCGCCTCATACTGGACGTGGTTGTGAAGGAGCTCTCACATTTGTTGCAGGGAAATTTCTTCAGGAACTAAAAAAAAAAAAGAAGAAAAAAAGGCTTGTTTATTTCTGGCTTTAATTCAATACCCAAAATAAAGCAGACGAAGCCCCAATGCCTTCCTGACCTTGCCGTGCAGTTCACCCATATGAGCAATGTATTCCTCCCGCTCTGTGTACTGCAAGTTGCAAGAACGGCATTTCCACACTGAAGGTGCTTTCATCCTTTCAGTTTTCACTTTGTCTTTATCTATCCATTCCTGTGAGCCTTCCGGTTTCCCAGGTAAATGTGGGGCAGCGGTCTGAGATGAATGCAGCTCTTCTTTTAACGTGGAAGTTTTGTGGGTCTAAAGTAGCGAGAGGGTGAAAAATGAAACATCAGTCAGGAAATATTTGGAAACCTACCTTAAACACATATTGAAAATATACCTTGAAATGATCCAGCAATGAATTCCTCTGAGAAAACAGCTTGGTGCACTCAGGGCATTTGAAGACGTGCACTTTCTGATTGGTTAAGTGAGTGTCAAAGTGAGAGTACAGCAGCGGCTTGTGAGTGTAAACAGTGTCACACATGACACATTTATAAATCAGCCTGTAAGAAAAAGGGGACGAAACAGCTGAGTCACTTCAAGGAATAAAGAGGAAGGCTGGTCAGGATGCTAATAAAACATGAACGGAAGTTATTACATGGCCTTGATGTTAGTGAGGTCCGCATGTTGAGATGAGAGGTGGGTCTGGATGCTGGGGGCAGATTTGAAGGCCATGGGGCATCTGGGGCACTTGTGGAACATGTCACAATGAGCGGACTGGATGTGGGACTTCACAGAGTTCAGCCCCCCAAACACCACCAGACAACTGGAGCATCTGTGGGGAACATGATTGTAGAAGAGCAGAAATAGGACTTCATCAGCAAAAAAAATATACCTGTAAAATCACTCAAACCTAAACTCCTTATACATATGTAGTACTTAAGCGATGTTACCTGTAGCCAATGCGCCGGGAAAAGTGCAAGCAGGTCTCTTGTAGATGTTTTTGAAGCAGCTGCTGCTTGATGGTGACCCCACACTCTGGGCAGACGTACGGCGGAGAGCTTTGGTGGATCCGCTGATGTGCTGCTGCGCTGCAGCTGTTGGGCAGCAGCATGGGAGGAGAGCACTCTGTGCAGGACTACAGGTAGCAGGAGGGAAGGCAAGAAAACCATCATATAGATACGCTTTTTGTTGCTTTTTTGGGGACAGATCGAAACAGCTGTTTGTAATTATGAAAAAATACAAAATTAAAAGATTCATGGCTTCTATCATTTTTTTGTTGAAGAAAAACGTCCCAAGGGCTTCTGCTGGCACCAGCATGTTTCTCCCTGAGGCCGGATGCTCAGGGAGATGAGCAGCATTGGTATTTCTACTAAACTGCGTTTTGCATTAACATTTTAACTTTAAAATATTTCTTACAGTGCTTTTAGCAGGCTTGATCTCCTGAAAATGATCAGCGATCTCCTCCTTGCTGCCAAACTGAGCCTGACACTCTGAGCATTTAGCATTTGCAGACTGCTGCGTCTCCGTCTCTTTACTGGAAGGTACAGCTTGATGCGACAGCTTCAAAGTGACCTGGCCTGAAAAAGAAAAGATAGTAAAGCTAAAGAAAACAGACTTGAAAGTATTTTTTTTTATGATTTAAAAAGGACACCATTTTCATCTCACCCCCTGCTGCAGCTGTCGGTTCAGGCTGACTGATCATCTGCTCTACAGGTACAGGTTTCATGACCAGATGTGAGCACTGCATGATCAGGCCTTTCTCTTTGTGCTCTCGGGCGTGCAGGAGCAAGCTGCACTTGTTGAAGAAGGCCAGCCGCTTGGCGCAATGATTGCATGTCACCTCAATCCTGAGCGAGCGCCTGTCATAGTGCTGCGCCAAGCTGTGCTCCAGGGCGAAGGCGTCACCACACTCCAGACAGCGGTAACCCTGAGTGAGACATGAGAACTGGAAATCTGATGTGGATTTGGAGGATTTTTATGTTGACATTTCAGCTAAAGATAAATTGTCACAGAAATGAGACCCAGTCACTGCTATACACGAGCCCGTGAAAAATCATTAAGATCCTTTAAACTTTTTCACATTTTGTATTATTCAGATAGAAGCAAGTTACTGAAGAATACAAACATTTTTTTTATTATCTTTGCTGCCTGTGAGTGTGTGAAATCTCACCTGTGCAGGAAGGGAAATGCCCCATTCTGCCGGGACTGGGGTGCTAAGGTCTGGTTTATAACAGGGGAGGAGGTTTTTGTTATTGAGGATTTTATTGAAGGCTTCCACCAGGTTGGTCTGACTCTTCGAGATGATCGCCCCCGTGCTGTTGACTATAGATGCCGGTCTGTTGCTGGTTTGAGGAGCCAGAGGCGTTGGCAGGGGGACCCCACTGTTGAGAGTTTTTTTCCCAAGGCTGCGGAGGTTGATGGCCCCTGGGTTGTCCCTGGAGTTGGAGGAGGAAGAGACGGGCGGCAGCGTTGTGGTTTTTGTGATGCTCACAGCCGTAGGGGACACTCGCTGCTTCCTCTCCTTCACCGTACTAACACCATCTCTTAATGCAGTTGCAGGCGACTCCGTCTGCTGTGCCAACTTCTTTTTGGATTTTACAGTTTGGCTTTCTGGTGACGGTTTAGAGCTCTCTGCATCCTTAAAGGAGGCTTTTGTGACTCTTTTCGGAGTCAGATTAGTAACGGTCCTCGTGATGCTGCCGGTTGGCATTTTGATTTTAACTTTAAGTGGTCTCAGAGGAGAGGGCGTCTCTGCGTTCTCGCCAGCCGTGTGGCGACCCTCTTCTGATTTTTCTTCATCTGCTGTCCTCTTTTCACTCAGATTTTCAGCTTCCTCTGATTTTTCCTCTTCGCTGTGCTCAGTTTTAGCTGGTTCGTTCCTGTTCTGTGGGGGCGCATCCTGATTCAGGTCTGGGCATTTAGTTGAACCCACGTCGGGGCTGCCGTTTCTGTTCAACAGAACCCCTGTTTCACTGGGTGGGGGGCTTTCAGGAGAGTCTCTCTCGTCGATCACATGCTCTGGATATTTCTCCTCTTTAACCCCAGCGATCGAAGGGAGGGGTTGTGGAGGTGTGATGGGAGAGTCGGGCTGTTCATTCTCCTCTTTTGGGGATTTAGGCTTTGCAGAGAGATTAGGAGGTTGAGGGAAAAGAGAAGATGCGTTTTTTTGCATCTGAGGAAGATCAGGATGTACTTTCTCTCGCCGTCTGCGTTTTGGAGGAGAGAACATCATCGATTCTGGGCTCTCCTGAATCACCAGTGGGCTCCCAAAGTCAGGATCTGACTCGTCTTCAGAGTCCACGACACATTTCGTCTCATCTGTCAGTCTTCCGTTTTCGTGTAATGCAGGAGGAGAGAAAGTATTTGCAGGTTTCTCCGGCTGAGAAGAGCGTGGGGTTAAAGAAGGTGGGGACCGAGGAGATGATCTGGTGGTACCACCTGCGGAGGTGGTCTGCGGGTACAGAAGAGGTGACAAACTGTCAATAACATCAGTGGTAGGTTCAGGTCCTGCATCGCCCTCATTATCACTCAGTGTGGAGCTGAAAGAAGGAGGCTTAGACCATGGTTCTGTGTTGGCCTGTCCTGGATCGGTTGGATCAGCTTCCTCAAAGCCATTGGTAATCTGAGGCTCCATGGCAGCAGGGTTGGCAGGCAGTTTGTGTTCCAGCTCTGAAGTGAAATCCTCTAACTTGACTGGAACCTGAGAGGCTAAGACACTGCTTGGAGGATTATCAGTTTTATCCCTGGCAGGCCTCTCCTCGTCTTCCTTCTCCTCAGTAGACTCAGACCGAACCGTGTTCTTTACAATGACGCTGACCACAGGCGGTTCAGAGTTGGGGAAGCATGAGGCAGTCCCTTTCTTGCTTCCTCCGGGCGCATTAGTAACCCCTCCATCGCGCTGCTCGGCTGGATTGGACTGAATAGCCTCCTGTGCGTCAATGTCTGGCATGTCGAAAGCCGCTAGCAAGTCATCAAAATCAGGGGTCTTCATGTCCCCCATCGCCAATGAGCCCCAAAACCTGCAGAGGTAGCAGCTAAGTCAGTGATAGCAGCGGGAACTGCGCTACAGCTCAGCTAACAGTCGCGAGTTCATGAGTTTTAACCGAGAAGCTAGTGAATTAAATATATTCATTTATCAAAAACAACGTGCAAAGCATTTGCATGCGTATTTAAAACGTATCCAAGAAAAAAACAGCAACGACGACAAATCAAATTCAGAGAAACAGAGCTGTCAAACTTTAGCTGCAACAAGTTGGAGCTAGCAGCGTTAGCCGCTAACTGTTAGCATCCCATGCTAACGCCCCCGAGGCAGTTAAAACGCTTTAATTTATCGAGTTAAGCACTCGGTTAGCAACGGTTTAATATAATCTACATAAATGCACGCTGTGCTTATTTGAACGCGTATGTGAGAGATGTTTATGCTACCTGACTGTTTGCGAAGTTGGTTCCTGACTTTTCCTGTTGGTCCCATCAGTTTTCCGTCAAAAACTCTGCGACGCTCCGCTCACGCGCTCAGCTTCACAGTCCTCACTACCGCAGACTCGGAATGGAGCCCTGAATTTCGCCAAAATTTAGTTTAATTTAGTTTATTTTTTATAGAAAGAGATAATATTAAGTTCTATTGAGCAGGGAAGTACTTTAATAATTGTTTCAATGTTTTCCAACAGGTCTTAGATCATTCAAACACAAGTCTTTACACATAAAAACACAAAAATAATTAAAATCTTATTTCACTTTTACATACAATATACTAAAACGGTACCTTACCTTTTTAGTTACTCTAGGATTTAAAGAGAAACATTGTTTGCTCAATTATCTTAAAGAAAAAAGGTTAAACATGAGGCAATAATTATTTGTACTTGAACAAGAATTATAATTTATAATTGTGGATTTGTTTATTTTTTGTAGATTAGATAATTTTTCTAATAATATCAGTAGTATTTTGTATCTGTTGTTACCTAATGATTTCACTTATAATTACATTTGTAACTATGCAACTTTAAGTTGCTATCTTCAATTCAATTCAGTTTATTTCTATACCCCCAATTCACAACACATGTCACCTCAAGGCACTTTAAAGTTCACCACATCATACAGTCAAATTGATTCTAGGTTTTCTCTATAAGGAAAACCAGTTGATTGCATGGACTCATTGGCTCTTCACCAATCCCTCACACTAAGCATGCTAGTGACAGTGGAGAGGAAAAACTCCCTTTGAACAGAAGAAACCTCCAACAGAACCAGGCTCAGTGTGAGCGGCCATCTGCTGATGCCAACTGGGCTTCAAGGAGACAGAAGCAGAGATGCAAAAAGCAGCTGTAAAAGGCGGCCCCCGTCCAGAAAACACCCAGCCAGGCAGACGAGCACCAGTCGAAGCCTTTAAATTATAAAGCACTAATGGATTACAATGATAAATCAAGTTTTGCTTTTTTTATTATCTGACCAATCTACACATATATACTATATCACACACCAATATTGACATTGCATTTATATAAAACCCCCTGAATGCATTATATAGTGGATGTAAGTTTTTATGCTCTGCATTAAAGGGACATATGATCAGCTGAATCATTTTCCTCCCCCGAAACAGATTTGATTGATCAAGATACCAAAGCTTAGTTTGAAGGCATTCCCAGTTTTTCCCCAAGATTTGAGTTACTGTCTATCAGCAATGTGTTTGTTAATCATTTATGTCCCCAGTCCACTACACAGGGTTACCAGAGCAGAATCCTCAGCATCATCTTCCTTCAATACAACCAGGAACCCCATCTGTGTCCCATCTCACTGCCTACTCCTTTATCAACCCTTTCTGTGGTGACATAATTACATATGTGAATTTGTCCATGGGAAAAAAAAAAATCTAAAAAGATCCAATTCATGCAGTTTACCTTGCTGGTGAAGATTTGGATCACAGACTTTTCTCCCTAATCCCCTCTGGAAGGAGGCTTCGCAGCATCTAATGCAGGCCCAGCAGGTTCTGCAACAGATTTCCCCCCCCGATTTCACCAGACTGTTGAACTGCTGAACTCTACATCACATAAATTTGCACTAACAATTTTGCCGAACTTTATAATCCTTTTAAATAGGACTCAACTCAGAGGTTCTACTGCATTTTGCACCATATTTATCTTTGCACTGCACTGAACGTTTTCATATTAATGCCCTTTTGCACCATTTTAAACTGGTTTATTTTTTCTCCTACATTTTTGACATTCTGATCACTACTAGCTTATCTACTCCAACTGCAATCATCACACTGATGTAAGCTGTATGCAACAAAAGTTTGTTTTGTACACTCAGTGCATACAAAATACATATGAAATACAATAAAGTTGGTCCAGCTCTAAAAAACAATTGGGGTTTAAGTAACCACAAGGTACTTCTATGCTCTGTTCTGTAAATTTATTAAAGAACTGGTTTATGTAGGTGAGGAGGTTTATTACAAAAAGGAAAAATAAACAAAAACAAATTAGATGAAAATCAGAACTAGAAACAGAAAAGATGAAGACTTAATATTTTATACAAAGAAAAAAAAGGCTGGGTTTACACGCAATATAAGTGGAAATCATGCAGAGCAACTTTCGTATGTCTTGTCACACAGTATAGTAACTCCTTTATATTCTACAGCTCATTTCTTTTTCTCCTCATCCTTCTTGGTGTCAGACTTGGAGCCTGTTTGGGAAGCCAGAGAGCCCATGGCGTTCCGGATGGCCTCATTGTTGGGATCAACCCCGGGGAGGTTCTCTAAAACACTCTGCAGGAACTCCGGATCCTGCATTACATCATAGTCCTCTTCATCCTGCAGACAAAACATCAAGCTGTAAGACAAAGTGTTCTCCCAAACAAATGGATGAACTTATTCTACACCAAAGCAGCTTCCTCCAACCTTCGCCTCACTGGAATCCACATCAGCACCTGTGTCCATCTCCTCAGCCACAAACTCTGCAGGATGTAAAAGGAAGATTGTACAACATGCATACTAAATGTTACTGAGAGATGCAGACATTTTTTTAAACAGGCAAAAATACCTAATATTAACTGAAAACAGTTCTATATTATTATTCAACTTGGTAAACAAAATCATTTTTTCAAATAGAGAAGGGTGTGTTTCTATTTCGGCCTGTATTTATAATTTTGATCCAATGTGGATCAAAGAGAAGTTCCATGTTTTATAATCAAGGAGAGCGCTTGAGATTGGTGTATGTAAACTTTAGTCGAGACCTGAAATTCAGAAACAATTTCTTGTTGCTGCTAAAAAATAAACGTTTATAATAAAGATAACCACATGTATGTTTTTATATGTAGATCTATATAATCAAAAATGTATTCCTGAACCTTCTCCTGCTCCCTGCATGGACATCTGCAGAGCATAGGCGATCTGTTCCTCCTCCGTCATGCGACTGAAGTCTGGCAGAGCAGGTGCAGCTGAGTCTGCATGTGAAACAGACATCTTCAACAGGGCATCCTCGGACTCTGGAGCAGACAGAAAAGATGCATTGTTGCTTTAAATCTCATGCCTGTTTGTTGCACTTAGTGAATGCAAGCTGAAATCAGCATCTACGATAGAAGCGCTACGTTCTTTTCTCACCATCTGCTACAGGGGAGGAAATGTTGGCTTCAGCCGCTGATGCAACAGCTGCTCTGCGAGCTTCATCCTCTTGTCTTTGTCTCTGTTCCTCCATGGAGACACGAAGAGCCTGCACGATTTAAGACACTTTAGAAATGCCTGATATGAATAAGTCTGAGACATGTTTTTGTATACTTCCTAAACTGTGTCATACCAGGGCCAGCTCCGGGTCTGCACTGGGATCAACCCCAAACTCAAAGTCGCTTGCACCGAGACCCAACACGGCGCCTCCTTCCCCTGCCAGGATGGGGGAGGAAAGCAGGGCATCTGCCAGGCTGGGCCCTGGAGGTACGGTGACCAGGTGGGAGCCTGCTCCCTCTTTCCCATTAAGTGTGTTGATGAAAGCTGTTAGCTTCTCCGTGTTCATCTCCTGCATTGATTGATGAAGAGCGATGGGTCCAACAGAGTTGACAGGAAGAACAGCATAAAAAGAGGCTGAGAACGCTTTTACTTTACCTCCTCTCCAAAGTTAATGATGTCCACATTGACTTTCTCTTTCTTCAAACGCTTTGCCATTTTGACCAGCTACAAGAAACAAAGCACTTTAACATGAACTGTTTAGATAAAAGTCTGATAGATGTAGAAAAAAAAACTTGTGTAGAAGGTAGATCCTCAGTAATAAACACCTGTTTAAAGTAAAACTGCTTTTAGCCACTAGGGGAGCTAGACCTGGACCATCAGGTTTAACACCCCTGAACACAACTGGAACACTGCATTATAGCTCAATGAAACAGTCTCCCTTTGCCTTTAGGACTCTGATAGCAGGCCACTTTGAATCAGCAGATCACAGAGTCATGGATTGCATGAAAAAACTAGGCTACATCCACCCCTCTAGATTAAATCATACATGAGACAACAAAAACCATGCTCAGACTGCTATAAAACGGCTCTCTGGGTCACATGACTCAATCAGTGACAGATCCAACGTTTTTTTTTTTATCTCACTATACCAATAGCCGTTTATTGACCTGAAAATCTTCTAATGTATCTCAAATCAAGCTGAAAATTGGTTCAAATGTTATGCGGTTTTGCTTTAATTAGTAGCTCCAAATAAGGACCTCATGCACAAAAAAAACAAAGCGTTCAATTTTCACACTAAAAGGTGGCAGTGGAGAGAAATCTTCAGATGTAACACCCTGGGTCCACATGTTCATGGGTCCCCTGATGCAGGTTTCCCCCGTGACCACCATGTCCCACTCTATAAATATTTTTGAATATATATATATATATATATAAAATCTTTCCATTAATACAAGCAATTTTAAGCAGTAATTTGTGAGCATGTGTGGATGTTTACCCTCTATCTGCAATTCATTCTCCACAGGCCACAGAACAATGTCTGTTTTCGTCTACATGTGAAAACCTTAAAATAAATCATGTTTGATTGTCCTAGAGTTAAATAAAACGGAAAGCCATCATATTTCATATAAATCTATTGTGATTCTGATTTCAGATTATTTGACAGAGTTTTACCTCATTGTTATATGTTATTGTCAATTGAAAAAGTTTGCATGACTGCCGGACTTTCATACAGTGTTTGATAGTAATTATTTATAAATATTCTATGAAAATGAAAAGATGAAAGTCAGACAGAACTTTTTAACCTGCTTCACAAGAATCATAAAAAATAAAAATTAACTCATGAAACAGGTCTGAAACACAATGATGGTAACCCCAGAAAAGACTGACTGATGTCAGATTCCTTTAACATGGGATAGATATTTACACAACAACTTATATAACAGGACCAAACTCACTTCTTTTTCGTTGTCCTCCACTGGGCTGCCTACAAATGCAATAATACGCATCTTGTGGTTTTTACCCTGTCTGTGCTTCAGTGCCAGCTGCAGAAAGAACATAAAAAAATGGTTGGATGTTTTTAAACCTCATAACAAGGGATGCACTACTGAACTGGTTTTACCTTCAGTTTTGACCGGTGATCAGCAGGTCAATTATAGAAAAATCTATATTCTTCCATTAAAACTAAAACACTCTTCCCCTCTGTATGTGCACATGGCAGCATGCTCAATGTAAGGGGTTGCTGCAAAGTCAACAGCACAAAGCAGACAAACGTCTACCGTCATGCCATGCATTCTGTCTGAATGTTTAGTTTGAATTGTCACAGTAATGTGCCTCAAGAAGATACAGTATGTGTTCTAAATCTGTTTCTATAAATAAACAGAATTGAATCTGGTGCATCCTACTGGATTAAAAACTGGTACCCTGTTGAAGGAAAGCACTTTTTTCTCTAATAATTAATATGGAGTTATATTATTTGTTGGGTAATATCAAAGTTTACAGGTCTTAGGAAGAAACTGAGCCATAGTTTCAGACCCCCAAACAAAAGGTCTGATTACTGCATCTCTAGTCTAGTGTGTTGTCCAACAACAGGACATAAAATGTAACTTTTTTGCCCAAAATGTTACATTAACAACAAACTATACAGCATGTGTTGGTTTTATATCACTAGAGTACAAAGGTAATCATCAGCGCTTCCTCCATGAACAATGTTCAATAAACCAGTGATAGACTCACATGTGCTACTCTGATGCCGGTGCAAAAACTAATGTTTCCTCGAGGCTGCACAGCATGTAGCTTGGATAGTATCCTCCCTGTGTCTGGAGTCAGGGTGGTCAGTACTTCACAGTTGCTGCATGGAGACAAAACAGCTGCTTTGTTAGGTGACGTTTTAAATGCCAGAACTCAAAGTGAAGCACAGTCCTCCTTACTTTGCCATGGTGATGAGGCCCACGTTATTTTCAGGGTTGCTGCGGGTCTTGGAGTGACAAACAATATTAACTGCATCCTGCTGAGCCTGCAGCCTGGTGGGCAGAAAATCTCCATTTCGCATGTACTCACTGTTGTCCACACTGGGGGGAGGGGAAATGTAGATAACACCATCAACTCTGTAGGTTAAATCCTTTATATTTACAGATTGGATGAGAAATGGCTACATATTGACAAAAAACACAGATGAATAAGAAAAAGTAAGAAAAATACACTCCAACACATCTTATTATAGTCTGAAGGGAAGTTTCCCTTATGGCAAAGGGAACTATGGCAGTTTCAATTGAAGGATAGATCATACTTCATCCCCTACATGCATATCTTATTATTTCCTGCTTTCTTGAGGCCTTTAATCAGAATGTCTTATTTTAGTAGTTAAATTTAAAGTTTCATTAAATGTTATCTTCCATTTTTTTTATATTTCTGTGTTATCCAATATGATCAATCTCTATTATCTCCTTTTAGTGCATTGGAGTAGATGCTCTTCTTCAAGTTCTCACTAAATGAGTGAGTTCCTCACAACATTTCGTTGTGAGGTAGCTGAGATAGAACATTCCAATTTTCTATATGAAATTCTATTTATGTGGCATCTATTTAAATCTGGGTAAGTTCATGATTAAAAAAAAATGAAGGCTTGGACAGAGGGTATTGTTTGGTGATGGAAGGAGCTATGAAATCTCCTCCTTAATCAGGTCAGTACATCTTTCATGGAAGAGGCTGGGACTTAAGCCACACAGAACAAGCGTATCATCATGGTAAGACCTGCTTTCTGCCAGATGGGAACCAATTGCAGATGAGATTTAACCTGAGATGCTGAAGACTCTAGACATTGCAGGGATGTCATAATTTGCAGGCCAATTTGCAGGCCTCTTCAATCCCACCAAACTGCTTCTGGCCTTGGAACAAATCTTATTCCACTAAACCGCAAAGAGAACATCAGCACATTTATTGTCAGGTTTACATGTGCACCATTTATCTGGACAAGGTCTAAGACTGTGTCCTGATTTGAGGCATTCTGTGTTAACTGCTGTTGAAGTATAGGGAATCCAAATGCTAGCCAATCCTGGATTGCTTAAACCATTCAATATTTCAACACTGTTTTTTCCCGCCAGATAATGGGGTTATGTCGGGCTCTTTAGGCCATGGCTAAAAAAGGGGAGTTAAAGTATCTTAATGTCTATCAATTATGAGATGTTTGAATTTTTTAGAAGGTAATGCTGGGGCTGTTATGGGATATTTACCCCCTCCATCAAAGGACATATGTGAAACTATCTAAAGGACCCTACTGCTGAACTTTATTGTTAAGGCTTTATTTAATGTCAGTGGGCAAAATTTACTGTATTTATTAAACTAATATTTCAAAATAATACACACCACAAACAAGTAACTACCCTCTGTTATCCTTATTTCTTTCATAATGATATTTTTTTGCTGGTGACATTTGGCAAAAAAAATTCACACTTTACTGACATTAGTTAATAATAGCATTATTATTATTACCACATTATTAACACATTAAAAAAGAAAAAGATTAACAGAGAGCGCTAGTGATCAATACTACTGTAAATATAAACTGGCACACTGGGTTTTTTCTTCAGTACACAACAAAACACATTGAAAAACCATAAAAAAGAACTGCTTGTCATTCAACATAAATAAATCAAGTTGGATAAATTGTATAGTGATGATTAAATTATGTTATATATTTTTACCAACAGACTATAAACATGGATAAATGTTTCAGAGTCGGGAGCATTTCCCAAATGTAAACAGGTTTTTGTTTTTAGTCATGTTCAGGGTATGGATGGTTGGTATTTATGTTAAAGTTTATAACGATATTTGGTGGTAGTTAAATCAACAACAGCAATGATAAAAATATACTAACACTTCGAATGTATGCCAATATTTATACTGATTAGTAACTGACAGTACCATAAGCTAACCGTTGTTTTACTGATTATCATCATTACTGTGTTAGGCATCAATGCACAAAACAGCTGGGACGTTCAGTCTTTGTTTCACATAGAATACAGCTTCCATTAAAAACACCGGGAACAAATTTGTCTGCTTGGTAGAATAAAAAAAGAAGAATGTCACAGAAGTCCAATTAAGATGGTCTGACAATGACAGCGGCTTTTTGCATTGTTCACTAGCTAATGCTAACACGTTTAGACAAAGCCCTTTCCTTCAACGGCAGAAACAGCCTCAGTTGTACATTTTGGTAACAGAAACTATCAGTTGGAAATAATATACAAATAAAGATCCGTCCCAAACAAAAAAGTACAGAAAAATACAATTTTTGAAATAAAAGCGGTAGCTGCTAGCTGTGGCTAAGTGACTCAGTGGAGACAAACAGTCCAAACAAAGTACGTGTATGCTAAACATAAACATGTACAAAAATGGTCTGTTTTTTCATGTTATGACCACAACTAAATGATGTTAGAATTTAAAATTTTGAATTCACAGACATATTCGAGGTTTCTTACCAGACCATAGTACTTTCAAGCACCATCTTGGAAACGTCTACGTAGCTACGTCAGCGCGATGTGTTAACTGGGTAATGAAGTCTCCTTCTTCTTCTTCTTCTTCTTCTTCTTTGATATTTTTTGGCGGTTGGCAAACTAGTTAAAAGTGCATTACCGCTAACATCTGATAAGAAGTAAAACAAGGAAACAGGAAACAAGACTCACCCACAGAAAAAATAATAATAATGAAGTCTTCTTTTGTTTCCAATAACAAAAAGGCTGTTAAAACTTTATCTCTATGCTCAAAATTCATCATATTTATGTAATCCCTTTATATGCTTCTATGTGTAGCTTTACTTAATCACTATTACTATTTTTACGTTTATTATAATTTTTATTATTATTTTTATAATAATATAAATAATATTATTATTAATATTTTATAATAATAATACCAGTTGTTATTTTTTATTTATTATTACTATTTTTGTTCAAACCCCTGGCGACTGTTAATTGGAAATTGTACCTATTTCTTCTTGTATTACAAAAAGCCTGCTGCTCCTTCTTCTTCTCTTCGATTTTATAGATAGTTGGCAAATAGTTTTATGTTGGGCATTACTGCCATCAACTGAGGAGGAGCGTGGGTCAGAAAGGGGTGGTGGACACAAATTTCCCCCCAGAATTGAAGCTTTCATTGTCAAGGCAGAATGTAAGCTTTTATTGTGAAGGTGGGAGAAAAGAACTTACTGTTATGGTTCCACTTTACTGGGCAGTTGGAAAGTTTTGGAGATTAAAGCAAGACTCCTTTGTCATTATCACAATTGCAATATCATTTCAACATGTGTTAAAAGACAAACCAAATAAAAAACATTATATTCTTGTCATTATTGCTATTATTATAGGATATCGCAAAGAATAATGGCAAAATCTACTTTTTTTTATTCTTCTATAAGCCAAATGTAACCTTCTCTATAATGAGATGTACTTTCTTTCTTCTTCATGCTGCTGTTAAAGCATCACTAATTATTCTCTTTATCCTTAGAAGTCAGAGCTACCTGAAATATGTTTTTTCTACCATGAATAATGATTAATTTAATCCAGTATGTACAAATCTAAGAATTGAACTTCTTCCTCTTCTCTGTTCCTTTCCGCTTTCCTTATATCTCCTATTTTCCATTGAATTCTATAAAACCATCTTCCTTTCCTCTTTTGTTCCCATTGTTTTTGCTATATCCACTTAGGAGTTTTTTTAATAATAACTTGACTTTCTCAAGTTAAACATCATGTCAATGGATCACTTTTTATGAACCATCCTTTCCAAAATTATCTGTAATTTTATTTCCTTTCATTCCTATATGTAACACTAACAACCATTATTTCACAGTACTCGTTGCATAGAAATTAGAATGTCCAATTTACCCACTCTGAAAAGCTTAACTATTAACCCGAACTGGTTAATGAATAACTTAGGCCTGAGAATGTAGGTGTCGCTCTTAGTGGTCTTACTTCCTTTATTTAAGGCAAAGCTAGAGATATTGTCAGCATTGTCCTGGTGTATGCGGACAGTTCATTATTCATTCTTTTATCTACTTCGACACTGAATTCTGGAATATAAAATTCTGCCTCGTCTATTACCTGAGCGTTTGTATGTATCTGTGTATATTGGAATCTAGTCATAATAACTGTTGATGTAAAGCTTCATATTTGTCCTCTCTCCCGTTTCCAGCAAGGCTGCAATGTTTCTCCTGTTGTAGGTTCTTGAGCATGATGATACAAACTGACCCAGTAATTTAATAACAATTGTATTTTCCTGATTTCTTTCTCCAGTTTCAACTTCCAATGCTATTTTATATTTTAAAGCACTATATATTTAAAGGATTAAGGCCAACTTGCTACTGAGCCATACACCAATATTTTCTAACTGATTCGCTCCCTATTCATCTCCAACCAAACATCTTGTGACATTCAGAACTTTCTTGCACCTAGCGACGATTTTCTAAATATGAAATAGTCATGCATTTCTTTGATTAAAAACAATGACTAAAGAATTTTAAGTTTTTTAATCGTTCCACTTGGTTAATTATTGATTGATTGTTTAACTTTATTGATCTCACAGTGGAGAAATGTACTGGTTACATCAGCTAAAATAGTCAGAAAGGGAAGAAGGTGACACACAAAGAAAAAGGTAAAAAAATTTTATAGCAGGATTTATATACCGGTTTATCACCCAGGGTGTTTACATGGCTATTTACTGTATATAGATGGATATTCATGTTTATACATATAGCTATTGTACTGGGTGTCAAATATAGAGAAACAGGTTATTGCACAGGGTGTATATATATATATATATATATATATATATATATATATATATATATATATATATATATATATATATATATATATATATATATATAATGCACAGGGTAATTATATAATTTTCATCTTTATGACTAATTCTATTTCATAAATAGCTCTTTGTAACTCCTTAAGTGTGAATTCTAACCTTTATATACATATTGTTGAATATATCTGAAAAAAACCTTATTTTTGCTTTTTCAATGGTCATTTTCCCAAAAACTCTTGTATTATCTTCTGCTGTAGGGTTATTTTTGCTTTTAAATATTTGTTCTTTTTAATACCGCTCTGTCTTTTAAATGCCTGTACTTCTGCTTTCTTTTTTCATTGTCAAACACAGAATTCCCCGCTGAGGGACAATAAAGGTATTTTTATTCTATTCTATGAATAATTTGTTCAATTGCTGATTCTGTCCGTAAATAAATTATAAATTAATAATTCTGAAAAGAACAGCTTGATTGAGATAAAAGTGTATTTTTCCACACTGTGCTAGTTCCTTGTTCCAGTCTTAAAGTTGCAAACGTGTCTTATTGGCTCCACTGCTGCTGGTTGATACATACCGGTACCAAGTATTTTAAAGGAACTTTTGGAGAGTGTTTAGTTAGTGGAAATATGCACCTTCTAATTTACATTATATTTAGATATTTGGAATGTGATTTAGCTAATTTGCTCTAAAAAGCAAAAACTATAGCATAAATCCAAAAGCGCTACTTGCATAAAACCTGACACACATATCCACTGTTTGCATATTCAGCACTTCTTCATAGTTTATAGGCTGTTTTAGGCTTTTGTTTATTCTATCTATTAATTATATTTGTCATATTTTCCATTAGTTAAAAGATAAGGACTGATAAAGATATTATGTATTTTTTTACCCAAAAAAATTAGAAAAAATCCTTTTACATAGAGAAAATTTTTTTGGCTCGTGTTACTCAAATGCTTAACAGTAACTAATACATTTGAAGTACCCCCACAAAAAAACCAAAGCATTTATACAGGTTTTCTATGTTGGCCATTTGACTCTTTGGATCCACTTTTCCTGCAGCTTCAAGATTAATAATGGACAGCTGGAGAGCCTGGAGTTTATCACAGAGAACATTTTTGTGGAGGAGGAAACTACAGTTATGTAACCATGTCAAACACATTTAACACCCAAATATCTAAGCTTAAATTAAGATGTCGTAAGAAAACATGTCTAAATAAAATGAACAATCAAAGCCAAGTACAGATTTAGAAAATACCTTTAATCCTTTAAATCAGACATAAAAACATCACCACCACAAACTGTAACTGAAAGATGGCAAGAGGAACAGGCAGTTCATGTTGTACGAGAAGGCATTTCCGTGACTTTTATGTACATATACACATTTATACACCGTAAAAATATAGTCATTGAAGCATATAGGACAACCAGCAACACTGGCTCGTAAGCCATTTGAAACATTCATGTAGAAAAACAATGGAAGAGCCAGAAACATCATGAAGGGAATATCGCCATCATTTCACAATCTAACCATGAAATAGAAAATATGAAATTGTCAAAAAGTCCCCCTTTATAAGCATCAAGAGCTATAAAGTTTCAGACATCCTTCAGTCATTTTACAATCATCAAAAGTAAATAACCTTTCATCATCTCAGCCTACAGCAATCAATGGTAATAATAAATAGACTTCAGAGGGCTGAGAGGTTGCAGACTGAGGTTTGTATTGCATTTCTTCAGCTTCGTAGTGTCTAAACCCGCCTGCATCCTCAAAGCACCCAAGGATTTTTCTATTGTGCCATAGTGTAGTAGAAAATCTCAGACCTGGTCTTCATCTCAAAACTATTACAGAATTAAAGGAACTGTAAAAACAAACACATTAAACAGCTGTGGAAAACAAAAATCTGAACTTTGTAAAATCTGAATCAGACATTTGAGTGTTATTTAGTTGGCTGTCCTACACAGCCGATCAAATGTGTTTTAAATGATTCCTACTTAACCTCTCAGCATAAATACTAAAAAAAAAAACATCAACATGGAACACAATGGTGGGAAATAGCAAGTCCCAATGTGCTACCACACATGAAAGCTGTACAGGAATGTGTAGTTTTTGTTTGAAATGACTTGAACTATAAATTCAACTGTATGTTAAAGAAAACCTGCTCAAAAATAAACAGGACTCAAAAAGGAAGCAGACTTTCCTTCACGAAATGGTTCAGGACAAAACAAAAACCCAGTTTCATAATAAATCTTTACAAAAACAGGTTCACTGTGTTATTACAATTTTAAATAAATCAGAGAAGCAGTTCATCACTTCCTCTTGTACTTAGGCGCACTCTTAATATATCCACTCTGCCTCTTTCTTTGGTGCGGTGAAAAAAAAAAAGACCCATACACTCAACTGTACTCATGTATGATCATGGCTGTTTTCTCTTCATTTGTTTCTCCTGCTCTGTCTGCTGCATAGAACACACACTTTAAACATTGACATGACATGAGATGATTTTCACGTTTTGCTACAATCACTAGGTAGTACATCTAATGTCCTTTATCAGAAATCCCCTCTAAAAACTTGTGCCACCTACCTCAGCAGCTTTTTTTATGCTCTTAATAATAAAGACAACTGAAAATTATGTAAAGAAAAACCAAGACTTTTAAAAACACCTTATTCTGATAGATTTAGAGATGAGGTTTGTTTAAAAGGTTATAGCTGCGGCCGAAGACGCTATAAGACCCGGAACTCCGTCTTTCCTTTTTTGCGCTTACGGTTTGTGTTGTAGTGGTAGAAATTGGCCAAATGTAGGGCACAGGCTTCCTACACCAAAAGATAAACTGTGATTTAAAGGCAGATAAAGTATCCTTAAGGTAAAAAAATGCAAGTATCTAACAAACCTTTACTTCCTAATTTTAAAGTGAAAAAGTCAACAAGTTCAGTAGCATTTTTTGGAAGCACTTTGCCACTGTTAAGTGGTTGTACTTATCCCCAGTTATATAGCTACATTTATACAATGTATACTGTATGTGAAATATTCTACCAATTTATTTAATTTAAAATTTGTCAAGAGAGCTGCGATTATTTTTGTGGGTTTCAAGCCCTTAAATACAATTTAAGGTAGGATGAGTTATCCTCCCTCTATTCTCAGCTGACAATAACTGATTAGAGTTTAAAGTTAAAACAGCTAGAAATATGACACAATCATAATCCTCAAAATACACAATCTATACAAACTGCTCTGCAATCTCCCTCCATGAAATTATTTCCATTAGACCCTGACAGAGAAATAATAAATAAGCAACTAAATAAAAACAATCCTGCATTCAAAATGTGCTTTTAAGGACATTTAGATAGTAGCTGTTTGAAGAAATTTGACAAAAAACCTATTTGGCCTTTCAGATGAGTTTCAACATACAGGACCAACTAATCTGAAGGTGGTTTAATCCAGTTGTTCACTGCAGGTAAGATATTTACCGCAGATAACCTTTCAAGGAAACCTCATTTCAAAAGATTTAAGCGATTGCTTTAAAGTCATGGTTAGTAATATTGGTCAAAGCATCAGGTGTTAGTTTCCATAACCAGTAGAAACAAATTACTGTTAAATCAGGGGGAAGACAATCTCCCACAACGGTAACTGGTGTTAGTGTTCTGGAGCTCTTGTAAACCTTCACAACTGACTGGTTAGTGAGGATATACTGTATAAATGGCAGTTTGATGAACATCAGCAGTAGTGATAAGGCAGGTTCTATGTGCAACTGCAGCACTAACCTTCACCAATGTCAGCTATACATTTAAAAAAGTCAAAGAAAAACACACAAGGCACAGACAATAACTTAAAAATACTACAATATTTAAAAGACACTTACTTTACCAGCATTTACTATCCAGCAATGCTGCAAACGCTCTGTTCTGTACTCAGACTTCAGCATACGTGGCCACATTAGCAGGGGACGGATTTTAAGGGTGGTAGAAATGTGGGTGTTTGTTTTAATAAGACACTTTCTGCTTTAGAGGAACGTAGGAATACATTCATCAGTGGCAAAGGTCTAGCTTGTACCACTGAGGGTACTACAACAATTCAAAATGGGAAACGAAAATGTCCTGGGGTTTTGTTCGACCCGCTCCACCTTCTAAATCTGATTCCAAATACTGTACACAGATGACAATAGGGAAGAAATAAATGTGATTGTGGATCCGAGCAGCAGTTGTTGATTCAAATTATTTCTATGGTCAGTTTAGAGTGTCTCTACTGACCAGAGGTACAGGGGCTGGAATCAAACTGCAGCCGTGCAGGTTTGCCCTTTATGTGAGCTCTGAGCTCAGTGTGCTTCTGTTGAATTATCTGAAAAATCGCATCTCTTCATCCTCTGGATGATGGACAGGACTTGCCTCATTTCAATACGCACAATGAGGAAGATATCTGCTGCAGCTGTAATGGAGCTAGTGACCGATGACGGCTCGTAGTCAGAAGCCTAGTCCTTCATTTCTTTTCATCTCTCTTCTCCTGGTTGACGGAGCAGCTCTCGTCTATGCTGAGGGGTGACTGGGAAACACAGGACCTATGAAGGGGTCGTCTTGGAGGGAGGACTTTTCATTTACGTTGCTCTTACTTTCAACCACCTCATCGGTTCCAGAAGTGCCTCATCTTCATAGATGTGGCCCAGGTTTCTTTTTTTTTTACTGTTAAATATAAATTGTTTTTAGTTTTCTGTTCAGAAAATATCACTGCTTTAAGAAAAAAAAAGAAAAGGTGGAAAATGTTGGCTTAGACTTACAAAGCAGATGTTAGTCTCTGGGACGATGTCAGAGAGAGAAACTACCTCCTCGTTTCCAGACAGGTTGGTTGAGTTATCAGCGGCGCCTTCCGCCCCCAAACTGGAACAAAGAATGTGATTAATGAGGCGAAATGACTCAAACAGGCAAGTGGGAAAAAAAAAAAAAAAGAAAAGACAGTATTAACCCTTTACTAGACGGTGGCTTTAAATTGAAGTCAGCAGGCAGTGTACAGGTGTGCTGCAGATGGGTAAAAAAAAAAGCCTTTTTCTCTTAAATTAACAGCAACTGCAACCATGGCAACAAATTTAATTAGAGTAGCATATCTCACACTGAAAAATAAAATAAAAAAAAACTAGCATATCATTAGAATACATTTGTTCAATGGGAGGAAAAGTAATCTTGTACCAGAAGATTTCTAAATTGAGCAGTTTCTGTTCAACTGGGTTAAGATCATCGAAAACAAAAAATACTTACTTAGTTCTTTTGCTTGTGTTTAAAATTTTGTGTGAAAGTGGACCAAAGTGTTGTTGGTGGAATTAGGTTTCTCTTTATATTTTGACGTACGGGGAAAGATATGTGTTGCGGTGGGTGTGTTTCTTCTCAAATAACATGGAAATCAGCTTAGAGAGCATTGCATCAAGTTCTTTTGTAAATATAAGGCATCTTAAATGGAAATCTGGAGGATTTTTTTCTGATTTTGATTTTTTCATTGTGAAATGGATAATAATTAGGACTCTGTGATAAAGCCCCACAAAACAGGGTTCATCTTGTTATATGGCCATCTCATTAGAATTAAATCCTAGCCATTATTTAAGTGGGCCGAGGAGACAAGATTACAAGACTCTGGACTCTGAATGGCCTCTAAAGGTTGTCAAGAGATAAAATGACAGAAAAAATTTGCTCATCAGACATTATATGTCAGACATCATTATATCTCACTATATTCTCCGAACTTTTGAGATGTTAAAGAAGAACAATAGGCGTTATTTTATGAAGGTTTGAGTAAGTGGTGGTGATAGTTGTGTTAAAGTGGGACTATTCCACGTCTAATAATTGTACTCTTGTTTAGATGTGATTGTAATGAGGCATTTGCTAGATGGATGCCATGTAGAATTCAAATTGAGTTCTACACAGCATCTATCTGGAAAGCCTCCTGTGGATAGCGTTCACAAAAGAGAGGGTCTTTCAGAACAATTAAGTTGATTGGGTAAATCAAGTGACATCCGCCTTCTGTGTCGAGCTTCTAGCCAATCACAGCAACCGTATCAGCCCAGACGTATCACATTCTTGATTTGTTTCACAACTAGCAGTTAACTGATAAATCAAAACCTTATCAAATCCAGTCAGAATGAACGTTCAAACATCTTTCCATCCAAAAAGGCAAAAAAGTAATTTTCTGCTGTTTTTTCAAAAGAAAATAATAGATCATTCCAGCTAAAACTGGCAGCCATCTTGGTTTTGCTTTAGCCTTCTACCTCTGGTACCTCTGTCTTTCATTGGTCCGAAAGATTTCTGCATCAACACTAAATTTGCGCAAATTCCTGTTGCTTGCAAGGTAAGTGGGATTATGCTACAATAAAAGATTCCTTTATATTTAGGTTTTAACAAATTCTTTTTTAGCAGGTGGTGCCAATAAATGTGGCAGGAAGTACAGCTCTTCCTTTCCCTTTGAATTATGGCACGGATTTCTTTTTCTAAAACAGAAACAAAAAGGATCAAGTTAAAAAACTTTGTGTACCTGGGGAACATTCCCTGGTCGTGGTCTGTGTTTGCTGATTTGTGCACTTCTACTCCAACGGAGCTGCGAAGAAAAGTCAAAGTCACATTGGAACCGTTTACAACAATGTGAAAATCCAACTATGGTGAAAATATTTTACCGTAGTGGAGGAGAGGTGGAACCTTCTCCTGCGCTGCCTAGTGAAGAGGTGGACAGATTGGCCTCAGCATCAGCAGGGTGGTCTGCAGGTGGGGGCGTCCTAGGAACCAGGTCTGGTTTGTCTTGCTGAACACCTAACAACAGAAGGAAAACCAGTGTCCTCGGAGTGGAAACGGATATAAATGAAAGTGTGTGGGTAGATACAGGGGAGCCTGGAGCAACTTAATAATTCCTGAGGTCTTACTGGTGTCAGCCTCTGATTCTGTGCTTTTAAAATGGCTGTGATATCCCAGTCTGGAGCCCTCTGCAGACTGTCCTGCTGCGTGGGTGAGCGGAGTGGGACCCCCTAAAGTGGGGGCTCTTCTAAGCCCTCCTTGACCCCCTCCACGACTCTTCTTAGAGGGTGACGGCTTAACTGAGGGAGCATATGCCACAAAATTAAGGATCAATATATACACAGCTACAGCCAAGCTTTGGTTAAATAAAGCTCAAACATATGCAAGCTTACGTGGAATTTTCTTGAAAACTGTGTTGCACATGAACTGCTGGAAACGCTCCGCGTAGAAACCAGGTCTGTGAACTGAAACAGTGTCCTGGAAAAGGAAGATGGAAAACCATAATGCAAATGAAAATATCTAAGTGGACTTTTTAAAATGCTCTTAAAGGACATTTTAGGTGTAGTCCAAATAAGCTCTTATTCCACACAGGCTGCATCACTGAAAATCCAAGACATTAATCTTTTAATAACCTTTGTAAGTTTTAAGCAGATAGTTTGGTCTGGATGCTTTTCTATGCAGGACCAAAATTCTCTTCATAGAAATGATTGTATTTGCTAATTGAACCAGCTTTTTTTACAACCCATAACCACTCCTAAACCTTACCACTGATTTATCTAGAATGTGACATGTGAACCAGATGTTTTTCAGTGAAAACTATAACCTATTAGAAACTTGGAATATCCAGACACCCAGTCATGAGAAACTTATTGTTACTGCAATAATAGTTTCAACTATTTTGTCTCTGTTGTCTAAAGCATGCAGTTTAAGTTTTATAGGACAACATATACTTGTTACCAAAATACTTATTGATAACCCCCTGCTGATATGTTCTCCTTTAAGGGACTCATGCTGTGGAGAGCTAATCCGGTTTCCAGAGTCAGATAGATTAACATAGAGCTAATGAAGCCATTAACAAGCCTTGCCCAGTGGGCTTAGAGCCAGGTCTGGTTACCATTAAAGGTTAAGCTACAACAACTGTTTGTGTTAGCCTGAATTTATAACACAGAGAAGCAATAGCTTCCTGTTCTATCCTGTCATGACAAATCTAAAGGGATTTTCCCTTCCTATCCCTCTCAGATTAAAATCAGTTATTACAAATAAATCAATTCAGTAAATCACCATTCCTGAACCTCCTAAGAGACCAATGAACATTTGATAAACAACTTTACCTTTAACCAAATTTATGAACATCTTAAATAGTCAGTAACACAGTCATAAAGCTTAACCTTTCACCTTCATAATAGCTTGTAAAGTAGAGTGTTAGCATTTTTGTTTATATAAATTTTTTTTACCTGCTGGCGTTGTTGGCAAGTAGACCTCAGATTCTATTTCTTGTTTTTTTTTTTTTTTTTTTTTGGCATTTCCAAGAACTTTATTTGTAAATAAAATATATGAAACTCTCCAGATTCTTCCTTATGATTAAGAAGATAAAAATAAAAGATCATTTTACACATTAATAGATGAATATAACTGTACTTAATAAAATGCTAATAATTGATACATTTACTTTGCGCACTTCCTCCAACTCTTTAGTTGCATTATATCATATCTATGCTCTTACCCCATCATGGACCAGTGCTTTCCAGGAGTGTTCCAGTTTCTTAATAAACCTAAATGACATTTACAAATGTCAATTAAACGTATGTTTGTTAATCTTGTAAATAAATATTATGGACATTTTAAAGGAATCCAACACTTACCTGTAGGACTGAAGAATGTCAATGATGCCAATGTAGATCAGCAACCTTTCTCCTTTAGCGTTGCGGGCTGGAATACCTCCCACACTAAAAAAGTCAGGGTCAAAATAGTGTATTTCATCATTTCACAACAGTAGACCTTACTAAAAAATAAATAAAAAGAAACTAGAAGCTCAGACTGTGGCAGTAGGTCCACCTACTGGTCTTCCGAATCCAGAGATCCCTTTCCTCGTGCTTCCCCCTGGATGGACTCCATGGCTGTGCAGTACAAACTTTTCTGAGCTAGGGGGCGACGCTGATCCGGAGTTACCGGGCCCTCCAATGCAATGCTGTCACTTGAATTGCCTCCACTACGCTCCCGCTCTCGACTTGCTTGGTCCATGTTGTGGATTCCCATCAACAAGCTGTAGTCCATGATCTTAAAACTCTGCAGAAGCTGCAGGACAGGAAAAAAAAATGCATAATGAAGGAGCTGCTAATGTACTTAGTAAAAATATAAGGATGTATGAACCATAAAGGAAAGCAGTGCTACAGCTAACGTCAGATGGTTATTTTGCAAGCATTACTCAGTAAAAGGCAGAATTACAGAAGCGATAACAATCTTTGAAGGAAACGGGTTCACTTGAAAACTAACTAAATTTTGTACGTTAAGTTTTTAATGTGTTACGAGTCCATGGATAAAAATAAAAATGTTTCAAATCACTAAAAAAATTCTAAAATAGAAAATTGATTATAATATCATAATATAATATTGAAACTTTTCTGCTCTAAATAAAGTTAACTTGATTTTGCTATAAATCACATATTTTGTGTAATGTAATATTTTTGGTCAAGTTTAAAGTATTTTTACATCAAAAGAAAAGAATCCAAAGTGCAGACTTAACATTATGCTTCATTACAAGTTTGACTCAAACAATGACTCCCATTCAAATCAGTCAAAACTTTTATTAAGATCCCAACTTGCTGGCTAGATGTTTTCTGAAGATAGAGTAGTAAAAATAAACATTTAAAACTGAATAAAACTAGGCAAAACGTGTTGGGCTACTCTATAAAGCCTGAACTCAAAGCTAATAAAGACATTTTGAATTGAGAAAGTTTCCTGGATGGGAAGCTTAACGTATTTAAAACTTGGAAAACAAAGTCCAGTGGTTTGTTTTTAACGAATTGAACATTTTGTCACAACAAACAAGCAACTAAAGCAGCTGCAGTGGTTCATTGGGATTCTAAGCAAATTGTTGCACACTTTCATTATATTTATCTGTAGTTTGCAATTTCATGTTACAGCTATTGGAAGCATTAGTAGGCTGAAATACATAAATACCATGTGTTTTAGTATGTGATGAAAAAAAAAGAATGGTCATATCTGAAATAGCTAAAACTTAAAAATGACCAGATTTACAATTCTTAAAAGGTATAGGTAAGGATTTTTTGCAAATTTTTGAAAAGACCCACCTTCTCCACTTAGAAAAAAAAAATGCACATGCACAACCCTGTGCCCGCTCCTGAAAAGGAACACCTGTTAAACACGTGTGAGAGCATGCATAAGCCCATTTCTCCTAGTGCACGCTCTGTTTAAAAGTTGCTGTTTGCATCGCTCATACAAGCTTAGTTTCCAAAAGAAGATTTGGAGTTTTTCCACTATGTCAGTCTCATCACTATTAATTAAAAATGGGGACGGGTACGTAGGATGGCCTTATGTAAACATATCACCAGAATGATTGAAAATTAGGAGGACCATTTATTTTGATGATCCATCCAGAAAAGAACATCATGCACTATACCTTTACATTTTTCTTGCTTTGTGCAGCTAATGTTAGTAATGCCTTCTGTTGTTAGCACCCAAGCTTGGTTGAATTCTTTAGTGCACCATCCTTGAATAACAATGAGTAAAAAAAAAAAAAAACTAAAAGCTTTCTCACTGAGACTCACCAAACAGTCCCTCTGAATAGTCTTGCAGAGAGCATTGTAGTTGTCTGCTTCCAGCAGCAGGCCATCAGGCATGTCCTGGATAAAATCCAGGTCTTTGTAAGTAGGAACAGCCTTTTCTCTTTCCTTCGGAGAAGCTCGTCTCTTATAGGTGGATCCCTTCAAGTCGTATTTGAAGTGCATGGGGATGATCCGGGGCAGAAGGTTATTCATCACAACAATGCGGATGTTCTTCCCCCCTGCCTGAACGCAGTACAGGCCGTAGAACTTAGGCAGTAGGGTGCGCTTGTTCTGGTTTATGTTCTGAAAAGGTAAAGAACAATATAGGAGTAATGGGTTTCCTTAGTAAGTCAGTTATTTTCATCTACAACCTAAATATTTTTACACTGATATGACTGCTGAATGAAACCATATTATACCAAAGTCACAATAACATGTCTTGCCTTCTTCACAGTTAAGACTCACCATGAAGTAACCGGGTAATAGCTTCTGAAGAAATTCTGCCTCTTTGTGCTGAACTGTCTTGATAATAAACTCATCGTCACTAGAGACATAGAAGAGGGATCCACTGGCACCCGGGTTCGACAGCTCGATGAGTGGCTCATTACACAGGGAATACTTTAACAGAAATGAAAATGTGTGTTATAGTCTATATAAAACAATCCAAGCATACAGCGATAATCTGACAGTGTAGAGAAATGTTTTCTAAGCATTGAAAGCTTTCCTCACATTAAGCTTCAATCTAAAGCATTAAGAAAATAAGTAAATAATTGACCAATCTTTTACTAAAAGTTTACAAATTCAGATTCAGCATAACTTTTTTTGAAGAGGAATGAGTCTATGTTGTGATAAGAGTCGACAACTTTACTGTCAAAGAAAAATAATGTATAAAAAAGAAAATTCCCAGTAAAAAAATAAGCTGTCAATTCCTCTGTCCTTGTTACGTTCCTGCCTTATGCAATAGATGCACTTACAAACAAAACATTAAAATGACTAAATGCTTAGGTGTAAACAAGGTTATAAGAAAAGCTGTAGTTCTGAATAAGGCAGGGTAATCTTAGTTCAAGTACTGACCAGGTAGTCATCTGGCCGAATGCCGAACATCTCTCTAAAGTAACGGAAAGCAATAGGAGCGTAGGTCTTAAAGCGAAAGTCACTGTAGTGATGAGCAGGGGTCAGGTTACTCCCTTCGCTGGAAAACAAATTAGAGAGAGAGAGAAACTCCAATTACCTCCAAAAACTATTCATTTGGATTTTTTGTATTATTATTTTACAAACCTGGGGAAGAAGATGCTCTCAACCACCACAAAGTCCTGCATAAGAACATCTCTCTCTGCCTTTTGGCTTAGGCTGCCAACTGTGTGAGCAATGCCTAACTGAATTGCACCCTTTAAGGCAGATGATGTGGTCTTAAGAGATCAAAAAGAAAAACAGTTAGCATGGGATTAAAAATATTTGCACCAAATAAAGATTTTCGAATCAAAGAATCTTTAAGTTTAAAGATCTAAAATATTCGTGACTACTTTTGACTCAGTGACAGTTTGCACTCACCTTTTTGTATGTGGTCTCTCCAGTGGTCGTTTCCACACCCCTGTGCCCGATGGTCTTCTTCATACTTTGGGTGGTGCCTGAAGAACCAGGCAACTGTGCGGCAACAGAGGGAAAACAAAACACAAACCATGATGAGATGTCTGTGTATGTAAATAGAAGGTATGTCCCAATCCGATATTAATATTGGATATTGGTCCAGTATTAGCCACAAAAAGAATATTGTTTTTTATAAACCAATGATCTAGCCTGGAATTGGCCAATGCATACTCTACTGTGAAATGCATAAATCTGCTCAAATACTATTTTTTTTTATCTTTTAATTGCAGGTGGAAATATTTCATGAATTAACAGTTTTTTTTTTTACTTAGCTTTTTCTTAAAATTGACCAAACTCACTTCACTTCAATTATTAAATGGAAACAGAAATTATTTACCACAACATGATCACTAACTCAGGTATAAACATATGGCAAAAATGTAGAATACAAAATGATAAAATAAAATGTAAAAAAAAAAAAAGGAAAAAAGAAAATAGCCTGTCTTTTACATTTTAAACTATAAAATATAGAAAAAAAAAAAAAAAAAAAGGAAAAAAGAAAATAGCCTGTCTTTTACATTTTAAACTATAAAATATAGCATATTACATACAGCTAACAAGATTTAAAGCAATTTCTGACATTCTTACCTCTGCAGGGGCCATTCTGCGAATACTGCTGGCCCCTAAGAGACAGAAGAAACATTTCGTTAATGAGATACCATACAATCTCTAGATACTAGAAACAAACTCATTCAGTCGCTGTAACATAATCACTTAAAAGCTTTTGTTATGAAAGAATCCATTATTGGCCTCACATAAAACACTGTGCTGGTTAATTAGCAGGGCTATTTCCAGCCATGCCTGATGACTTTTAGGGCAATGACGAGAGCAGGCCTAAATGTGGCCATAGTTACTGACTGCTGCATCAGATAAGTTTGATCTATGTAAACTAGAGCTGCTCCTCCCCTGGTGCTGACTGCTCCACATTCATCTGCTCCATGAGGATGGGTGTCAATATCTCAACGACTTCAGAGAAACAGCAGGTTTCTTGATATTTTCCTCTGGCTGTATTTAAGTCATGCAAAATTTCCTTACATCTATTAGAGTAACTCTCATGTGCCAACATTATCTGTAAACATTTAAAAACTCCTCAAATCCATCCATTTAAATAGTCTAAGATTAGAAAAGTTGTAAAATGTGAAGGAAAACATGCAGTATGCTATGCCCAAGTAAAAATCTCAACATAGACATGCAACAATAAGCAAATATCTGAACTGAAATTCCAGAACTGAGAGTTTAACAAATCATACAGCTTTGCCCTTACATAAACTTGCTGTACACACTTACTCCCCTCCCTGCTGTTCAATCACTTGTACCCTGTAACCAATGGCAACAACTACTCTAATGCTGCAAAACCATGGGTCAACATGTAAACAATGCATCTAAGCCTGAGATGATTAGACACTTACAGCTTGAAAGAAAAGGCACAATTCTATCCCATTTGATGCACTAGGAGAAAATATTTCAGCAAAGCAAGCCAAATCATAGAATATCATGCCTCTTGTCTCGCTTATCAAGGACTCACTGCAGTCCACCCGGCGGGAAACAAAGAATGTTCCCACATTCCCCTTCGTTATATAAAACAAAACACTGCAACACTGCTACCAATGCAATGCATGTTCGGCTCTAACACAAAGAATTGCTGAAGCACACCCATGCGGGTACCTCGCTGCAGAGCTCTCCTCCAAAACTGAGTCCTAATATCTGTGAAGCAGGACACAGTCCGTATTGGTTTTAGTTTTTTTTTTTTTTACAAATACAGGAGTAAATCACAAAAGAAAATGCAAAAGTACAAAGGCGTGAAATGACACAACCCTGCAATCAACCACAATTGAAAAGGTTTCTCAATTTGCATAGAGGGTTTGTATTATTAGTGTACTATTTTGAAGAGTAACTGTCAATGTTAATGACTGCTGAGTTAGTATTACTACTATGCTCAAAGGCAAAAGGGGCATTTATTAATAATACAAAAGGAATTAGACTACCCCATTTTTTTTTACAATAGTCTCAGCTAATCAGTGGCAAGCCATATGACAGTAAGCAAACCATCTGTCAGCAATGATCACAAGAACCCTGTGGCTAAGTAATAATATAGGACATGATTTTAACCAGCCAATGAGGACTTAGTGAATGTACTGTTTCTTGGCCCAAAAAAGGAAACAGGGTCACAGAGACCTGGAAGAGAAACTACATTATGCTGCTGTAAGTCAGGTTTTTGAAATTGTGCCTGACAGTTTGCAGGATCCTGTTTTTGCACAGTGTTTGGGTCTAAGCCACGTAGGAGCAACATGGAGTGTTTTAAGGCACTATTTTTAATCACTGATTCAAAATGGGAGGTTACCAGTTTGAAGCAACTCCTCTACAGACAGGGAGTCGACACAAGACATAAGTAACAGGATTAGTATTTCAAACTGCGTATCAGACCTTTGTAAGCTGTTGTGGGCAGAAGTTGTACATTTTTTATTAACAAACTAATGTAGATATACCTTATTAAAGTGTAATCTATGCGTTTGCAAATTTAGTAAGTTAAATTAGTGACTTTTTGAGAACATTAACATTTAAATTTGAGATGTTTCAAAATGATACTTGGAAAAAAAAACTTCATACCTTACTTTTTAACTTAGTTTATAGCACAAACAAGGTATATGTAACTTTCAAAGTAAATTACTGTTTCCTCCATGGCACGTGATTGACCTCTTTTACAGACACAGATTTTTTCCCTTTGGGACATTTCTACATTTAATACTTAGCTGTTAAATGGGAATTAATAAAGGGGATTTGGCAACCATTAACATTTCATTTTTTACATAAAACCTATACTTTTTTTCATGAAAAAGAAGCTAATAAAGGACATTCTAAACAAACTTTTTAATCTTTATTGTTTAAATAGGCTATTTTATGCCAATAAGGCAGTATCAGCTGAAAAAGAGTGGTGGTGATTGAAGAAGCAGTGAATGAGAGCACTTACAAATTCAGGACATAATTAAACTTGCTAAGGATGAGATTTCAGATGCAGGCTAATATATTCTGATATTAGTTTTTTGGCCGATTTATGACATCCACATCGGCTCAGACCTACCAAGTAAAATAGGTTTGTAACTGTCCAATAGTCCATGCTCCACAAACACTGGTTAGAGATATCAAATATATTTGATCCTTTAAAAGGGACAGTTTCAATTATACTTTTTTTTGGGGGGAGAGAGCGGGGTCGAAAAAACATCCATTTTTCCTATGGACAGAGATGCTGTCATAACAAACATAAATAGAAGTTCAATTGTAAGGTAATTGCTAAAGTTTTAAATAAAATAAACACAAGGCTTTTGGTAGGATGACACATTATTACAAGTCAATTGAGTCACCACCTATAACAATGTAAATTTAATGACTTAAATTACCTTAAAATTTCAGATTTTAAAACGCTGAAGCTTTCTTTGAAACCTATAAATACTTTAGGTTGAAAACATTTAACTATTAGTAAGTTAATGTACGATATAAAACTTTGGTAAAGATTTTCAACACAAAACAACTATTATTTAAAAAAGTGATTCAGGAATTAAACTTTAAAAAGATTAACAGGAAAAGGGGAGATAATAGGTTTACTGATAACAAAGGAATGACAAGCATGAGCCGCTGGTTAACGGGTAGTAAGAAATCATTAATGGTCCACATTCATTAGATAATACACCATGTCAAACGGGAAAATAACGGACCCGGAGGCAGGAAGCGATTGGGAGTGGATTTTTTATCTTTTTTGGTTTACAAGAGAAAAAAAAAAGAATGGGAAACAACGAACGTCTACATATTTAATCTACATATCAATTAACCTCCAATGCTGGTTAATGTCCATATTTAATATAAAGTTAATCCATTTTTCCTATGGACAGAGATGCTGAATTGCCGTTATTACAACTATCGGCACTACTCCCCCCTAAATATATATTTCTACTCTCAAAACAACTCTCTTCATTGTAAATATACATACAAAACTTTGAAAAGACAAGGGTAGCTTTAATAAAATGCTCCATTATTGTTAATTACCCAAGCAGCTAACTAGGCTAGCTATCGCTCCATGTATTTGTTCGACTGAAATCTTCCATGCTAACTAGCTACAGGCTAAACAGGACTCGAGGAATCATAGCAACTTTACGGAAGAGTTTTTACAACCACATAACATTCAACTTTCCCGTTTTTATCTTAGTTTTCAGAGAAGGAAAGATGAAGATGAATTGACACGCTACCTGTCGGGACTGTTGATCCCGTGTCTGCTGTTTCAGCAGTCGCCATTACGCCTGGACCATTCGCATCACATACTGCAATGAGCGTTCAAATCTGATGCATGCACAATGGCGCCCCCAGTGGACAGATAGAAAATAGCTATCTCTTGTTTTTATTGAAGTCAGAAAAATGACGGAAAAACATCTAATCAATAAGGCTTTTATTTATAATATGCTGAGATAAAAATAAATGAATGTTTAATCTCACGATCTTTAAAAATATTAATTTTTTTAGCAATAATACCTTAAAAAATTATACAAATGCATTGATGTATTCAATAAATGTTTTATTACCATTGCTGTAAAATCTTATATAAATTAAGCAACACAAATGACTATTGAGTTTACCTACAATTTATATTCAGTCCAAAAAATGTGCTTTGTTTCTTATACAGTCTTCCTCAATTCGATTTTTAACCTAATGTTGTCCTATTTTGTTTGGAACTAAACCCAATTTAAATGCGTTTTGTGGATCTTTGCCCTGTCGAAATTCTTAAATATTTTTGTATAAAAATCATCTCTTATTATAATAATTTGGTGAAAAAAAACCTTTAGCCAGTAAAAATTAAAATGCAGATGGTCCAGATTGCTGTAGGCCTCTTAATGTGGGGTAAAATTTAATGCATTAAGATGATGATTGCACCTGTGTATCAAATATCCCTTTTTCTATTCATGATTCTTAGATGTTTTAATTTGACACATTCTATAGGACAATTCATTGCACCTCCTGAAGCTTCAAAAACTGTGTGAAGAAAGGGTGGTACTCTTTGCCTAACCTGAAGTGGTATTATTGGGCAATGAGTGAAACCAAAAGCATGCAAATCAGATAAAACGACTTGGTTTAGAGACAGCAGCGAATAAAAGTACCTAATCTTGGTTGAAATTGTTTGGTCCCAATCATAAACTTACTAACCCTTTAATTACAGCTGACAATTACTCATTTAGAATAATAAAACAAGTTTGTATTGGAGGGAAACCAGTTGACTTGGTACAGTGGTGTAAAGCTGGTAATATTCTCTATATCTCATTTCTCATTTGATTGTAAGTTTTTGAGATATGTCCGTTTGTGAAGTTCTTTATCTCTTTCTAAGATGCTGATAGGAAAGTCCTGTTCATAGTGAAAGATACTAGGCTAAGGATCTGGCAGAGGACATATGTCAAGATGAATGGGAAACATGTCTCTCCAATATTAACACCATGTCTATACAAACAGGCAGCAGGTTTATTTAATAAAAAATTGCATCTAAAAATTCTGTCAAACACTGCAACAATTACAGAAATTGAATTTAATACCGATGGACACTTGCTTGCAATGCAATGGTCAAGGTGTCTTAATTCTACATAGTTAATGGAGCTGCACAGCACTTCAGAACTGATGGAAGAACATTTCTGAGATTATCTCTAGTATCTTGAATAGGATTATTTCATATTTCAAACATTCTGTGCTCAGCTGAACCACAGGACTTCCTGACCGCCACGTTTCCTCCCATGAAAAGAGATGGATTGTTTTAACTCTAAACACAAACAGATTTTATAGAGACACTGTCAGTAAAACACCTCCCTCATATGAGTGATGATCAACAAAAGGTCAATTGAAATCTTATTAATACATTACATAGACTACAGGCATGTCTTGAAGACATAAAAACCTAGATGACTCTTAACTTCGTGCTCCTGAATGCAGACAAAACAGAAATGATAGTCTTTGGATCAGAGTCTTTGAAAAAGAAACAGATTAATCAGTCACTTCATTTGGATGGGATTAAACTGATTTCAGATAATAAAGGAAACAATCTTGGTTCTATTTTTGATCAGGATCTGTCATTTCAAACCCATTAAAAAGAGGTTTCTAGAATTTCCTTATTTCGTCTGCAGAGTATTGCAAAAAACAGAAATCTCCTGTCCAGGGGTGATGCTGAGAAACTAGTCCATGCATTTGTTACTTCAAGGCTGGACTATTGTAATTCTTTACTATCAGGAAGTTTACAAACTGTAGTTAAAAGCCTTCAGCTGATCCAAAATGCTGCAGCCAGAGTTCTGATGAAAATTAAAAAGAGAGATCATATCTCTCCTATCCTGGCTTCTCTTCATTGATTTCCTGTTAAATCCAGAATATAATTTAAAATAATCCTCCTTCTCACATATAAAGCCTTAAATGGCCAAGCTCCATCTTATATCAGAAATTTGATTGTTCCTTATGTTCCTAACAGAGCACTTCGCTCTCAATCTGCAGGTTTACTAGTGGTTCCCAGAATTTCTAAAAGTAGAATGGGAGGCAGATCTTTTAGTTATTAAGCTCCTCTCCTGTGAAACCAACTACCAGTTTTAGTCTGTGAGGCAGACACCCTGTCTACTTTTAAGGGTAGGCTTAAAACTCTCCTTGTATCTTGGCTTATTTCTGTATGCCTGCTTCTGTATCCTTGAGCCCCAGTCGGCCACGGCAGATCGCTGCTCACACTGAGCCTGGTTCTGCTAGAGGTTTCTTTCTGTTAAAAGAGAGTTTTTCTTCTCCACTGTTGCTACAAGCATGCTTGGTGTGAGGATCGCCTTTTAGTCAATGATTCGATGCAATCAACTGGTTTTCCTTAGATAAAAGGCTTTGAATCAATTTGACTGTATGATCTGGTTGAATTGTATCTGTAAAATGCCTTGAGATGACTTGTTGTGAATTGCCACTATATAAATAAACTGAATTTAATTATTAGAATGTGTTTTATGGACTATTAGATAAACTTTATAATTGTAACTCTAGTTTGTCTCCTTTAACCAGCTGGCTTTTTGTTATATAATCCACCGATGTGTGGAGGTTTAAACTCTAAGAGCGGTCGGTGTAGTGCTTAGTGTGTGTAAAATGCAAAGAGAACATGGAGAAAGGGAAGATTGAGTGGATAAATATAAAGGAAAGAAGAATCCTTATGCTCAAAATAAATTTAACTTAACTAATTTAACTAATCAATAATGAGTACCGGTAGATGTAAGTAGCCTAATATCTTTATTCATATCTGAATAAATAGATTTGGCCCCCAAAATCTTACATTCCACTTACATAACTGTTTAACTACAGAAAAATAAAATAGAAAAAGAAATGAACAAATATAACTGAATAAACATAACTTAATTTTTGTAACTAAATTTACTTCACAGATTTATTTTAATTGAGGATTGAGGAGGCAGCGGTTTGACTTATGTCCAGATTTCTTTTTAGTTTGTAGTCAAAGTATGAGTAAAATAAAGTTGGGTTTCCAATAACTGCAGTTTTAAAGACTGACAGTTATTTAGAGTAGAGCCTTAAACATATTTTTGAAACACAAAGACATTATTGGGAATGTTGAAATGACATTATCTATGACATAAATATTTAAACTCATTTGTATTTAGAAACTCGTTGATGAATAAATAAGACTCCTATTGGACTTCTACTCATAAGTTGTTGTCATCTTAAATACTTAGATGGGTGGGCTTAGCAACTGTAACATACTGTTACCTTTACATGGACCTCAAAGACTTTATTTAGTGTGTGCATTTAACAGTTGTAGAATTACGAGAGGTTAGGGTCAAAATTCATTAGTTCATCGTAAATTAAATGTCTGCTTAATGAAATATAGAGACATCTGGATATTCCAAAAAATAATGATCCCAAACTCACTTCAAAAATGGATCTGGTTTTAATAGTTAACTGTTTTAATAGTAAACGTCCCTGATCTCTTGAAAAGTTGTTGACCACAAGAAAAAAAGTTGGGTCCTAAGCATCAAACAAACCACTTCAATTAACTCTATCAAATCTGAAAACCAAAGTGGTGAAATGTGCACCAACAATTAGATCTGATGGTAAAAAATAGCATGTCAGCATAGTTTGCTCAGGCACTTTTATTTTAAAACTGCTGAACATGAACTGTATGCAAAAAGCAAAATTCAGACCCATCCTTGATTAAAGATGACAAATTCAAATCTGTTGGCCAAATTTCCCTTGAAAATGTATTAAAATAGCTTGTTTTATGACCACATGATGATGTATAAAAAAACCTGATTCAAAGCTAAATCAGGAAATTCTGCTAAAATTAATGTATAAAATCTTCTCATCAGCATTGAATGCCAGTAACACCAGCCATAATTTAAAAAGAAACCTGAGTAACTACAAAAAAGATTTAAAAAATATTTTTATTTAAAGTGTCAAATAAAATCCATATAAAATTCCTTATGTATTCTTTTTACGTTTTCAGCAAACTACTTGTGTAAAATGAACCATGCAAACAGCAGCAATATAAAAAGAAAGCAGTGCTATAATAACTGAGCCTGGAGTCTCGTTAGAAACTCTGTATTAAAAGGTACTCAGTTTTATTTATTCTCTTGCAATGCTCTTCATGTAATAATTGTAACTTACACCAAAAGATGATTTAGGTAGAAATTCAGATACATATTTACTGTGAACCACTTCTGGAGTGAGCTTACAATACCCAATAATGGATCAGATCCTGCCAGTGAAGTGTGTGTTTAAGGAATGGGGCAAATTTTCTTATTCTTCCTCTGACCCCTCTTTTTCAATTGTTTGTTGATGAACCCCATGACATTTTCACCAACACATTGTGAGATCTCCTCAGGTGAAGTCCTCTTGCAGCAGCGGTAAACAGCTGCAGTGGAAAAGGTGTCTGATGAACACAGGCTCTGGGATAATTGTTCAATCTGATTTGATAGAATAGAAAAAAAGAAAATTAGGTTCCAGCTTGTATTTTATGTGTATTATTTTGGACAAATTCACTTCATGTTTGTCACCTTTTGTGCAAAACAAGGGTTTCTGTCTTGCTCCGACAGGGGGCAGCATAGGCTTTTCAGCTGAAAACCGACAGGAAATCTGCAAACCGTACATATTGTTATAAATGCTGGATAAACAGGTGCAGCTAAATAGATTAGAAGGAGATTTAAAAGTTATTTCATCTTGGTAATTGAATCCATCAATAATTTATTACCCTCATAGGGATACTTTTATTGATTTTATTTTCATTATTACACCTTTTGAAACCTCAGCATCCAGTTTATACTCCATAGTTACTTTAAGTATTTGGGTCAAGCCAGTTCCATTGCAGCTAAACTGAGTTGAAGTTCCTTTGCGAACAGCTGCCAAACCTGATGGAAATGAAATCAACATTTCCCCAGCTTGACTGCAAAATAAAGCATGCAGTACACACACACACACACACACACACACCCACACACACCAACACAAAATCCTGGTACACTGAAAAAAAAGAACTCATAAGATTTACTTAAAAAATATATTGTAAGTATTTGCAAGCAAATTATTTAAGTCAAGTAACTTTCCACAAGACATAACAGTTGAAAAGATATTAAGTTACATTTACTTAATTAAATTCAAGTTGTAATTTAGATTTATTTCATCAAATTAAGTAAAGTGCCCTTGTTTTTCATATGCACAAACAGCATTTTACTCAAAATGTTAAGGCAACACAGAGACAAAGAGGACAAACAATTATTCATGCACACACTCACACCTAAGGATAATATAGAGAAGCCAATTAACCTAACAGTCATGATTTTGGACTTTGGGAGGAAGCCGGAGAACCCGGAGAGAACCCATACAAGCACAGGGAGGACAAACAAACTCCATGCAGAAAGACTTAATTTAACTTTCTGCAAGGCGACAATGCGACCCACCGCACCACTGAGCAGCCCTCTAACTGGAATCGTACTTTTCAAATATGCAATAAAAAATTTACAACCCTCTAAGACTTAGAGTTTCAACATTTGTTAAAGAAACATACTCATATATAAGATAAAGAATATTTAACTCACACAAACTTGCTCAAAACAACTTCTGGGCGAGGGTCAGTACAAAAACAGCCTTTTAAACTTTGAGCATTGGTGTAAAGATTATGTATTTCTCTATTTAAATGAAAAATAGCATGTAAAACTATAGTATTAATACCGTAGTAAAAGGGCATTATGTTGTACTGCATTCGAACTTGTACCAAAAAAGTATTTCATATACCAAGTATTTCATATACACCACATCCATCACAGATCTGGTAATATAACCTCTACTCAAATAAGCAATAAAAATCTTACAAACCTACACACTGAAACATTGCAATTTTTACATCTAAACCAGTCATCCAGACTAGTGGACTTTTAAGAATGCAATTAGAACATTAATGAAACAAAATCAACACAATTAAAAATTAACAGCTTAAACTGTCTAACCATTCTCAATGAAGAATACAATCTCTACTAGATATTGGAATAAAGGTATCTGTTATTTTTTTGCAAAATAACATATACCTTATTTGGCAAAAAATAAAAAACATTAATGCCAGGCAACCTTCCACTAAGATTAACTGGAACTCACTGCTGATTCTTGGCAGGGAAATTAACTTCAACTTCAGGGTGTTAACTTTTGGGGACAGTTTAAATCCATCTAACTCCAGGAAGAGTTTTTGGACTTCAAAACTGTAGTGCAAAGTGGGAGGGTAAGCCAAGTTAAGTATTAGTCCCATGAGCAGTGAGCAGGTTTTTGCAGTACTGTTGCACCCTGCCAAAATGTCTCAGGACTACCTCTTATTCTGTATGTGATCCTGTAATGTCTGGACTCAGAGCAGAATCAGTCCTGCTGTGAGCTACAGTGTGCATGTGCCGTGTATGTGTTTCAAAAAGCTACATTTTTAGAGTAAAGTTTATGTGGTATTTTTAGGTTTATGTACATACTGCTATTAAACATTTAAACAGTATAAGGAATTCAAAGTGAAACGTACTCTTTCCCCAAAATCAATTTAAACATTTAAATAGTTTAAGGAAATCTAAGTAAAACTTACTTTTTCTCCAAAATTCATTTAAACATTTAAATAGTATAGGGAAATCTAAGTAAGAGTTACTTTCCCCCCAAAATGTATGTATTACATTAATAAAAGGTTTAATTTTACTTCAGAAAGGATAGCTTTTAATGAAGCTTAAAAATACAGAGTAAAAATTATGACAAATACTCAGAGTATTCTGTGCACCAAAAAGTCACTATTTTCAGTGTAGGGAGCTGAGCTGACTGTGCTTGATAAAATCAAACATTGGTAGGTAAAAGGGCTCAGTAAACCACTACTGACAGCTAATCCAGTTTTTGCTGTTGAATTTTTTACCTCTAAGCTGCTCTTTCAGAAGCAGAGACCTTCATGTCCAGATACAACATAACAGACATTCAAAAATATGGTTTAGTTTTATTTAATGATCAGAACTTATGGCCTGGACTTTGGGCCATTGATCAATATGGCAGTTCTTGGCACCAGGTACGATACTTCGGACACTGTCTCTAGTGCAAGATATATATTACTCTCAGTTTTAGTAACTTTATCTCTTAAATTATTTAACTCTTTGTGATGATCATATTTTTAAGATTCAGCATAGATTTACTGCAATATACAAAACAGTAGAAAGTATTTAGACATACCAATAGAAAAAAAACAAAAGAAAGAACCAATGCCAGTAATATACTATGATCATACCTGTTGTCGGTGAAAATTTTAGTATCACACATTGTGCTAAGAGCAGGTGCCTCCTTCTCAGATGTTTTATTATAGAGCGGATCCAGAGAAACTGTCTGGAAACAGCCAAATGGATCTTTTGACTGACAACACTGAAGGTCTATCTGCCCAGCAATCTTGCCTGAGCAGTACCTATTAAGTTCCAAGCGCCACTGAAACAAATAAACAAATAAATTAATTGGTGTCAAATTCACTAACTTTAAATGTGAAAGTTATGCATCTTGTACCTTCTGCTCAGCACATTGGAGTGCACCCTTCTTCTTTTTGCAGCACTGCTTGTATTTCTTCTCCAAACGGTTGATGGTCTTCACCTGATGAGCCAGGACCTCGTAGCCTGAGCGTGGGAGGCACTTGGTTGAGTAGAGAGGTCTGAACTTCTGGTTGCTACACAGTGACTCAATGTTGATTGCAGAAGGCCTCCCAGGAGGGAAGATGATGTCGGTTTTTGGGGAGGCAGCTGGGTTGAGTTCAGTTTTTTCTCTACTGGCTCTTGCAAGATGTGGACTCATCAGATTCCTGCAATGCAAGTTGCACAAACCCAAACAATGACTTTCTTGAGGAGGCGTCATCTCTCAGTTCCCTTAATTCAATAATATTCTTAGAAGCTTCTCATTTGAGTTAAATCTGTTATTTGATGAAGCAGATGTTACAGGAGCCTCGGTGAAACACAGATAGCCATCTTCATTGTGATGACATTTCAACATCCATGACAGCTACAGCCCCTTTTTCCTGTTATAACTTATTAAATCACATCATAATGTAGTATTTCATATCCAAATAAGCTAGATAAAAGTTAAGAGGATGAAGATGTAGGAGAATTATTAAACACAAAATTCACCGTCTGAGTTTTATCAAAGAAAAGGCTCTTTTAAAAAAAAGGGGCTAAAAATTTAGATTTGCAGTTTGTTTCAAGCAGAGGTGGGTAGAGTACCAAAACAATTTATTTAAGTTACAGTCACTCCAATTTATTCCATTATTACTCAAGTAAAAGTAGAACATAGGCATCCAAGAAATTACTCAAAAGTAAAAAGTACTTGGTGAAATGGCTACTCACTGTAGTGAGTAATTATAGGCTCATCACATCTGATTTCATGTTTAAAATGTATAATCAGGCAGAGAAATATGTACAAATTATAGGATTCAAAATGAAATAAAAAAATACAAATAGGTAACACGATTAGAAAATAACTTTGAACAGAAGAAACACCTTTACAAGTCAATTTCTTTAAGATAAACTGATAAAAGCAGTCCTAACAATGGGTAATGCATACATGTCCGGAAAGAATAAAGAACCTCAAGCAACAATATCTGCTGTTTACGGTATTTTTATGTGATCTCTGGTTACATGTGGTGGGAAAACACTCTTACAATTACTTTAGTAAAAGTAAAATACACAATAAAATAAAAATATTCCTAAAAGTACATTTTCTTTTGAATGTTACTCAAGTACACTGAACTATTTACTACCCACCTCTGCTTCCAGGTCCTGTATGAGACCCAGAAAGCATGTGACCTGATCACGTGACCAAGTTTGAACTTTCTACAAGCAGTAGGTGGAAGGTCTCTTTAAGTACTGTTCCCAGGGCCATCCGTCATTTGAATTTAAACTTGTATATACCTAAAAAAAAATAACTGCAGCAAAATATGTTTCTGGAAATGTACTGACTTTTTTAATCAGTACAAATGCACACCATGCTTAAATGTGTGGTGTGCAGGACCTTTCCATTGAGACTTTTGTCTACATTTTCTTTTTTTTTGCATAAAATCCACATTTAAAAAAACAAATAAAAGTGAGTGGTTATAAAGTTACAAAACATGAAAAATGTCAAGGGTTATGAAGACTTTTGCAAGATGTTTGGGTTTTCCAGTCAACAGACCTCGGGCAAGTGTCCTGGTTGAAGTTAAAGCTTTGAGTAGAGCCAACCTCCTCCACAGGCAGCTCAAGCGTTGGCTCGTAGTTTGGATTTTGAGCGTTTTCTTTAAAACACTGGAATCTGCTGGTATCCGTTCTCCTGCAGCAATGATAAAGCCGATCTTTGACAGAGGAGTCCTCCTCACAGAACAGGTTAACTGACTGTTGCCACTGGAAACAGTAAAGACAAAACACTGAAAGTTGTCATGGTGAAATAAAAGCTTTGACAATGACAAAAAAACCGCAACACGGAGACTTTTTGTTGCACAACAGCCCGGGAGAAATCTTGAGGCTAAGGTGCCCATTTACCAAGTTTTAAACAGAGAAAGATTGTTTAGCCATAACATGATAAATATGATTCAGCACTAAAACTGTTTTTTTCACTTTTATTTTTTTGTGAAGGTGTTATCGCTGTGTGTTTTAATGGTTCTTGTCTGTTTAGTCTATCATTTGAACCCAGGCCTCCAATTATACTTGAAACATGCAGATAGCAATGTTTTATGCCCCTTTTTATAATCACAGTAACCCAGGATCAATTACAGCAAGAACAGTACAGTAGCACTCATTAAGTGCTCAGCAGTAGTTATTGTTATTTATATCAAGTTACACTGATTGCAACACATGAGACATAAAAAAAAAAAAAAAAAAAAAAAAAAAGTGCTGACTCTAATTTTGAGAAAAACTTACTGCCTGTGTGGCGCAACACAGCGTCATCTCAGTCCCCCATGTCTGGTTCCCTTTGCAGCATGTGCTGAACCACCACTCTGCATTATTAACAGCTGTGGCCTGGCGCTTCTGTTTGCCAAAACCAGAGTTAGGAAAATAAGATTCTGGGTAGCGGGGACGATGGTCGGAGTTAACACATATGGCCTCAATGTTGTCAGCCGTTGGTTGGCCGAGGGGAAACTGGACAGGATAGCTGAGCGCAGGAAAAAAAGAGCGTGGGCCAAAATTGGGTCGACCTTTGACGAAAGGAGAAATAATGCAAGCTTAATAGTTTTGTAGCAGGAGGTAGTGCACCATAAAATACAATAATAGAAGATGCATACTTGGTGGTAGTTCTCCTTCTGATGCAAAGGGCTCTGATGGGAGAAAAAATAAGTAATGTTAAGTCTAAATTACTGCATTGCTTTTGCTTAAAATGAGATATTATGGATGGATGGATGGATGGATGGATGGATGGATGGATGGATGGATGGATGGATGGATGGATGGATGGATGGATGGATGGATG